GGTGAGGCACTGGAATGGGTTGCCCAAGGAGGTCTTGAATGCTCCATCCCCAGCAGTTCAAGACTGGGGCGAACAGATCCTTGGGTGCCATGGTTTAGTGTGAGGTGTCCCTGCCCATGGCAGGGGGTTGGAACTGGATGATCTTAAGCTCCTTTCCAGCTCTAACTCTTCTATGATTCTATGATTTTCTGTTAAAGCAGTAACACACTCGGGTTACCCAGGAGCAGCTACAGCTGTTGCTGGTTTGTGGTGGAAGGGACCTTAAAGCTCCTCCAGTTCCAAACCCCTGCCACGGGCAGGGACCCCTTCCACGAGCAGCTTGCTCCAAGCCCCTGTGTCCAACCTGGCCTTGAGCACTGCCAGGGATGGGGCAGCCACAGCTTCTCTGGGCACCCTGTGCCAGCACCCTCGTGGTGAAGCATTTCTTCCTCGTAGCTAACCTAAACCTCCTCTCATAGATTCAGAATGAGGGACTTGGCCACAGAAGTGAACTCCAGCAAGTAAACTGTGGTGACCCTGTAAGAGAGCACGAGCAGAAGCCGCTGCTGAGGTTCCCCTTTTCCCCATGTACGTATCCTGAGGTTGTCCCAGTTTTGTCCCTCAGCAGAACCAGCAAACTGACCTGGGCCTCAGCAATGCTGGTGTGCTCTGATGCCGGTGCTGCTGTGGTCCCAGCAGTGCCTTGGCCTTCGGGACCTCACGCCTGGGAGCAGCAAACATCGGGGGAGCTTTCAGAGCCGCTGCTCAGCTCTGGTGAGCCACAGGAGGCTCCTGTGGCTGCACTTCTGCTGCTGGGGGCTGGGGGGTTTGCACAGGGATTTGTGTGTTGGTCCCTGAGTGGCTTTTGTAGGCGGGTGGAGGCCACATGGTGCTGTTGGGGATTTAATCATCTGCCTGTGTTTGTCATTCCTGGTGGCAGGAGGCTCCGTAACGTGCATTAACTCCTATTAACTCTCATCACATGCACACACACTTGCTTTGGGTGGGCCAAGGAGGCCTATAGGGATGCTGGGGATGGACTCTTCATTAGGGACTGTAGTGACAGGACAAGGGGTAATGGGTTAAAACTGAAACAGGGGAAGTTCAGATTGGATCTAAGGAGGAAATTCTTTCCTGTTAGGGTGCTGAGGCACTGGAATGGGTTGCCCAGGGAGGTTGTGAATGCTCCATCCCTGGCAGTGTTCAAGGCCAGGTTGGATGAGGCCTTGGTGATATGGTTTAGTGTGAGGTGTCCCTGCCCATGGCAGGGGGGTTGGAACTGGATGATCTTAAGGTCCTTTCCAACCCTAACTATTCTATGATTCTATGATTCTGTATTCTGAGCTGCTCATCCCAATGACTTTTATAGTTCAGAAACTATTCCAGGTGTGTTCATCTTCAATGTGATGCTTATTGCACATAGTGTAGCGTTAGGAGGGTCAGTTTATGTTATGCTTGTAAGCATATAACTGGGATTATATCTTCAGTATGCTCATGTGCACAAACTGAATGAGGTTTTGCATCAGCTGTCTTCTGGTTGTTGGTCTTGTTAAGGAAAGTTCTAGGATCTTGTGTTGGAAATAGAATCATAGAATCATAGCATATGCTTTTTCCAGAGGAACTGATGCTCTGAGTGTTGAAGTGAGGTTGAAACAACCTTCCCCTCTTATTCCCTTCAAACACGAAATATTTCAGAGCAGGTCTGGTTTTGCCATGGTGCATGGAAGTCCTAAACCCTCTTACTGAGCTGGTCTGTGAAACTAAAGAGAAATGGGTGCCTGCCAAGCAAATTGACTGCAGCATCTCAAATCAAATCAGCTTTAAAAGACCAGATTATAGCTTAAACGTTCCCAGCCATGTACATCTGGTTAATGCAGAGGCACCTATGACAGCATCACCTTGGCAAGGTCAGCAGGAGCTGCATGGCCTCAGCGTGTCAGGACCTGGTTTGTGCCATGGCATTTCTCACCCCTCACTCTGTACTTCCCTCTGTGCCTCAGGTGTTTGCTTCCAAACTTGTTGCTGTTCCTCTCCTGTGAGAAGTGTGAGCTTTGTCCCTGCAGGGTTCGTGGGTATCTTATTTCTGTTTCACTACCTGGGAGCGCATTCTGGTTTTAGGATGCAGTCAGTCAGCTTCAGGGGCTGGGCTGCTTTGGCTTTAAAATCTTTTTTAAAACAGATCTTTTCTTTATAGTGACAAATACATGTACTTAACCAGATAGAGATGGGTATTTTTTCACCTTTCTGTGTAAATACTGGGTATTCCAAGAGCTCCTACGCATTATAGGATGTTGTGCTGGTTCACAGAATCATAGAGTCACAGACTGGCTTGTATTGGAAGGGACCTCAAAGCTCCTCCAGCTCCAACCCCTGCCATGGGCAGGGACCCCTTCCACTGGAGCAGCTTGCTCCAAGCCCCTGTGTCCAACCTGGCCTTGAGCACTGCCAGGGATGGGGAATGCATTTTTAGTTTAACCTTTAATTTCTCCTTAGAAGAACACAAAGATAGTCAATCTGTTCCGAGTTATGTCAGCAGAATGCCAAACTAGCCATTTAGAATTAGCAATGTCCTTGAAGAGATAGAGGGCAGAAAGCACCATTTCTGAAATTAGAAGCAAAACTGCAATAACCAATAACAGCAGGCAGTGCAGGCAGCAGGACTGCTTCACAGCGCAAGTGTCAGTGGGGTCCTTCCCTATGGACCTCAGTGCTCAGGCTGTGATGTACAGGAGCACACCTCGGTTCTGCTCTCCAAGCTGGCAGCCCATCATCCTGAGCACAGTTTGGCTAATCAGGATGGGCCTCTGTTTGCCAGAAGCAAATGCAAGAAAGTAAAGTATCAGAGAAAGGTGAATTCCCTCATGTTTGGTACAGCCATGGCTGAACAGGAATTTGCTTCCAGGTGTAAAATTGTGTCAAGGTGGTAGTATTTGTCACACATTTTTCATCTGGAATACCTATCGCCAGGACTGAGTACGGTCCTTACAGCTTTATAGACTGCTCTTCTTCAGAGCGCTGAGCCAGCTCTGCTCTGCTCTGCTCATTCTCCTTGACTCCTTCTCAGTTCTTTCCTAACGCTCCAGCCGCACTTGCCCTGGAGCTGAGTGGGCACATCCCCTCTGCCCTGTGCCCATGTGCAGCGCAAGGGTGCCATCCCTCTGCCCTAGGAGCTGGAGGAGATTCCTTGGGAGAGAGCAGTGTCCCCTCCAGCTGCACCAGGGCAGGGTTAGATGGAGCTGAGGAACAATTCCTGCCCCAGAGGGTGCTCAGGCATTGGAACAGGCTGCCCAGGGCAGGGCTGCAGGCACCGGCCCTACAAGGGTTCACACCCCATGGAGAAGAGGCCTCAGTGCCATGGGGCAGGGGTGGCCTGGGCAGTGCTGGGGTAAGGGTTGGACTGGGTGAGCTTGAAGGGCTTTTCCAACCTGATTGCTTCTGTGATGTTGTGATTTCTATGCCAGTGGAATCGAGGGAAGAGCCTGGTGTCAGGGAGCTGTGGGTGAGGCTGTGAGGGGACACGGCTGTGCCCAACTGCATCGCTCTTCTCCGGCATCCCTGTTCATAGAACCATAGAGTGGTTTGTGTTGAAAGGGACCTTAAAGCTCATCCAGTTCCAACCCCTGGCACGGGCAGGGACGCCTTCCTTGCAGAGATGCATTATTTCTAGAGATGTACTGGAGCTTTTGGCTCCCATGAATTTGGCCAACAACATTTTGTCCTTTCTGTCCACCCCTTTTCTGCTTGCTCAACGTTTCCATGCTCTCTCTTACCATGTGTCTTACTCAGTGTGTAACTTGCAATGTGCAGAATCAATGAGCTGGGTGGTTCTCATGGTGTCAATGAGGTGTGAGGGGACAGCTCCCGCGCTGGTTACTGGGGATCATGGAAACTGGGAACACCTACACACACTGAGGTGTGCGGTGGTTCCTACTAGCAGTGCTCCTGTGCCCCTGGGGTGCCCATGGTACATGGAGTAGTAATTCTGATGTTTAAAGACACAGCAAACAAAGGTTTCTGTTACTCTGTAGCCAAGTTTATAAGCAAATTAGAGCAATTTCACTTGTTTCTTTTTCTCACTGCGTCGCGTCCATTGTAACTTTGAACAGAGACCTTGCAAGGCCAGGTTGGACGGGGCTTCAGGGGTGACTCCTGGCTTATCCCATGGGTAAGGTCAGGTCCTGGTGGGACCCCAGTTTTGTGTGACTTCATGCTCAGTAGATTCACTGCTGTAGCTGCCTCAGGGCCTCGGGAAGCTCCAGGTCTACCGGGTGACCTCCTGTTGCTGTAGTGCTGCTGGACCTCAGAACCGCTGCTCTGCCTCACAAAACCCTTGGCTTTTTAACCAGAACCGACCACAGCAACCCTCTACTTCTGTCTTTTGTGTCAGGGTTGAACTTCAGCCTCTCGTGTGTGTGTCTGCAGCCCTTGCCTTTCAGAAGACAGAATCTCCCACTGTTGTCTCCCAGTTTGCCATGAGAGATTGTACAGGTACCTGGATGGTCACCAGTAATGAACCAGCACTGCTCTGGCTGGGTCCTGCGGAGCTCCGTTATGTTGAATTGCCAGCTTCCTTCAGGAAGGCATCTGAGGCAGAGTCTGTAACCCCCAGAGCACAGCATCATCTCCAGAACTGGTTTCTATTTCCCTTCCATATTCTCTGATGTTATCATCTGATAGAAACCCCTGTACCTAAAATAACTCCAGCTGATGGTGTGCAATGCATAGACATGACCATTGGTTCATTATGGTTTTCCCACCCTCGTTCCAGCTCTCATCTAGTGCTGCCCACTCCAGATGCCTGATACTGAGCACTAAATCAGAAGTGCTGGTGATGTGATATTTGACCAGCTTCTGTTTCTGAATTTATTTGTCACCTCTACATTGATCTCTCTTGGCTTTATCTTCTCTAGCAACGTTCCTGCCAGGACCTTGACCAGTGGCACGTTGCCTCTTCAGTTACTGCAATGCAAAAGGTCTCCCTTTCACTGGAATTTACATAAAACTCTCTTGGTCTTCCCCAGGGCCCATCTCCCCACCTGAGATCACACTGCAGGGCTCCCACTCGATTCCATGAGATCTGGGACACCCAGCGCCCCCGGACTGCCCTCCTCAAGCAGATGTTAATGGGAGAGGAATGGTGCTGATCCCCGTGCTGCTGCCGTCGGTGGGTACCGCAGCTGGACCCTGGTATTGTAGATATTCATTTATAACCACTATAAGTCTCTAGCAAGTCTATTGGGTTGATCGTAGTTTTGTTTTCCGTCTAAATCAGTTATGGATCAAGGGACCTGCTTGCTATTAACTAGAGATGGGGCAGAGATGGGCTGAAATTAGGGAAGGGAGTCTCACCAACTGTCAAGAAAAGGTTGTTTAAACAGGGGTATTTAGTAATGAAAAGTCAGGTTTGACATAATCTGATCCTCTTTTTGAGGGGCTGAAGGAGCAGCTTTTCATTAGAGCTTGGTGGCACCTAACAACTTGTAACTGTTGTCATTTGGGAGATTTATTGACTTCCTACTCAAACTCTTGTCTGTTGATGTTGAATCACAGAACCCCATCCTGGTTTGCGTTGGAAGGGACCTTAAAGCTCCTCCAGTTCCAACCCCTGCCACAAGCAGGGACCCCTTCCACTGGAGCAGCTTGCTCCAAGCCCCTGTGTCCAACCTGGCCTTGAGCACTGCCAGGGATGGGGCAGCCACAGCTTCTCTGGGCACCCTGTGCCAGCGCCTCAGCACCCTCACAGGGATGTAATTTTTTTGCCTCCACTTAGACCAATTGCACACATCTACTGGGAAGTACCTGGTTTGGACAACCTGGCCAAAGACAGGTTCCCCCTCCCAGAGCATCTCTCCACGCTGTCCAGTCCCTAAAGCTGAGCTTGATGCGGATGAGTCACTCTGAAATGAGTGTTAGTTGTGAACTGTCACCAGCAGTGCTTGCGTTCCCACCCTGGAGTCTGTTATTTTCAAGCTCATTTATGAATTGATTAAATCCAATGATTGAAAATCTTTCATAGCAGTGTTCAGTTAAATATTGCCTTCTCCTCTCCCAGTCCAGCTGTGTTGCGTGTTCGTGCAGAAAAGGGGTGGGGAGGTAGCGTTAAACAGTTATTATAGGATGTTAATAACATGCTTTCAATGTTTCCATAAAGTGCTTTTGGATCATACGGTGCCATCTGTGTTCCAGCTGATTGTGGGTAATTACACAGGCATGGATTCCTTGGGAAATGGATGGCATTACCCAAACAGTTTGTTTGCCATCAGCATAATGGAATGACACAATATTAACTGAGGGAATTAAGTCTGAAGTGCATTCCTCACTAATAATCCTCAAATCAGTGGAATTATTCACTGGAGCTGCTCTGGTTTAACTGAGAACTCGGATACATATCCTACTGTAATGTTATTGCAATAACTCCAGTGGATTCTTGAACCTTGAGTGTTGTGGAGTGTCTGAAAAGGAAGAAAAATCAGCTTCCTACATAGCAACAGCTGTTTCTGATTAATTATTTCACTCTCTGCCATTGAGAGATGTGAAAGCTAAATGGGTGTCCTGCTTTGAGATGCACATGTTGATGTAGCAGCAGTTCTGTCTTCCAGCAATGAAATTCAATTACTCTCCTCTTTTTCACTCTAAACCAGTGACTGTTCACATCATTGACACCCGGCTGTGCTCTGCATTTAAAGACCCAACTAAGTGTGTAAAATTTATGGTGAAGTATCAGCGGATGGGATGTAGATGTGTGTGTGTGATGCACCCAGTCACCTCTGCAACAGGAATCTACGTGCACCATGCCTGTAGCTTACAGGGTGCCGGGTTTTGCTTGTAGCCATGATCCACCCAGCAAAGGGTTAAAGCTCACCACGTCTACGGATTAATGTTTGAGGAGAAATTGAGGTCAGTCAGGGTTTGACATGTGTCCGTTAAAGCTGTTGTTGGAATTGATATAATCCCAAGGAAAACTTTGACTGGACTTCATCTGCAGAGACACGATACTGCGCGCTGGGGCTTGGGGACGGGTGTTACTATCTTTGATTCAGATCAGATACTATCTCATCAAAGAACAGTTTAGGAACCTATTTCTCACTGGAAACGTTGGCTGGATGTTTTTCCCCTTATGGAAACAGATCTGCTCTAAACCAGCCAACTGTTGGTAAAGGAGTGTGTTCACTTTGCAGCATGGGCAGCCCACGAGGGGTGTGCTGGCATATGGTAGTGCGGGGTGTTCTGTTTAGAGTGGGGATCTCCACAGATGACAACATTTCCCAGTGAGTGTGGCTCTTGACTAAAAACAGGGCCCCAAACACAAGTCTTTAGCATCCTTAATGGGTGTCCTGCATGCCCAGGCTTTGCTTACACCGGTGGCTTCTCCTGGGTTTGATGGGAAGCGTTGTTCTGAACCTGGAATGTTCCCAGCAAAAGCATGGTCAGGACAGTTGGATGTGCTCCTTTGGAATTTGGGTTGAGTTACCCACAGCTGGGTTTATTAAAAAACCCAGAGTGGTTCATCAAATTAGTCCCAGTTTAACCATGGTCTGAAATAGGAGCCAGCAGCTTTCACGGTGCTGTATTGTGCATCTGAAGCGTTCAGAGTCTGTAGGAATAGTGTTTGGCTGAAGTGATGTTTTGCTTTAACTATTGGCACTCTGGGCAGGGTTTATTGGTTTATTTTGCAGTGCAGCGAAACACTGATGTCAGAAGCTGCCACCTAAAAACCACATTTCCCAGTTAGCCTGGATGGCTGATCGCAAGTCAGGAGGCACAGCGTGAGGAGCCCTGCTCAAGGCAGCTCATGCTGCATTATTGATGCTGTTTTCAATACATAATATCTTCTCCCAGATTCAACAATGTGCTCTGTTAGGGTGAGGTGGTTTAGAGATGCCCCTTCTACATAACTCATTGGAAAAAAGCAAAAAGGGACAAAAAAGGTGATACTACAGCAGCAGGATGCCTGCTTTGTAGGAGGTGGCTTCCCTGTGTGCCTCACTTTCAGACTGACATTTGTCCCCCTGTGCGCAGATGGGTTTTCCACGTGCAGGTGTGCGCCAGCAGCCACCACCGTCCCTTTCATGAGTACAAGTGACTGCTTTCATGGTTCCCAACAATGCTGTTTGTCCCATTGCATGCACAGAAGCTTGTGGCTGTCACTGGCGAGCTGCCTAACTCTGCCCAGCCTCATTCCCCATTGTTATCCCTGGGAACAACAACCCAAGTGTATGCCAAATGGAGCGATGACCCCAAACTGGGTAGATCCCTTTGTGGTGTGCAGGACACTGAGTGCAGGGAGGGTCTCTGTGTCTATCACCAGGTCTGAGAATAAAACCATTGCTTTAGGGATTTCCCTGCAATCCACACAGCAGCCTGAGAATTCCCTGCTCTCCATGGTGTGTCCAGGGATGTGATTAAATCCACACTGTTCCCATCCACTGCCTCCCAGGAAAGCAGCTCTGGGCCTGCACTTCTCCTTGTGTGTCTCTGATAACACTTTTGCCTTTTGGTTCACTTGTATCAGTCCCTTAGTTTTAATTTCTATAAGCAAAGAAACAACAATTCGTGTAGCCGTTTGTCAAAAATAATCCTTCTGGTTGAGATTATGCTCACAAATCCCTGTCTGGTTCAAATTACTTTGGCATTCATATGTAAGCAGCTAAAAGTCTGTCTTGTGCTGCTGCTCAGCTTCTCAACTCTTGGAATAACGTGGCTCTGCCCGCTGCATCTCTCAGCAGAGCACATCATTTAAGTAACTAACTGTAACGTGCACAGCTCCATTCACTGCAATGGGAGAATTCAGTGCCTGTGGCCACAGCCTGCCCCATTTTTGCTCTATAAAGCAAGAGGTTTTCTAAGACCCCCATTGTAGGTCACTGATTGCATTGTCTTACACAAAGAAGCAAGGACCTTAAATGCAAAGAATATCCACTCCTGTTTATAGGTTTTCAGGCAATGTCTGTAAAATGTTATTCATTCTCTGTCTTCAACCAACCAAACGCATTTCTTTTTATGGAAACTTCAAGGCTGCAGAGTCAGTAATCAGGCTGAGGATTAAGGCTGTTCATACTACCTTCATTTGGTCAACTAATACCAGGAATTTTACATTTTCCCTACTTTTTGCTCCAAGTCCCAAACTCCCACTGTGACCCAGTGTAGATCGGCAGTGACTGCTTGTCCTGCTCTATTCCCTCGCTCAGCAGCCTTGCCTGCTTGTTCCCAAACCCCAGCCACTTGCCTTGGATGCTTTCAGCCCTCTCCTGTCTTCATATCCCATTGATGTATCCCGCAAGGCAGCTGCCTCCCTCTGTTCTTTTCTCTGCAATGGCTGTAAAGTTTTGCTGTTAGAATTCAAATCAGGCTGCTCCATTATTGTTATTACACTTGTCTTACTGTTATATTGATATTTTACTATTATTATTTACTGTTATTTTATATTACCATTTACTGATATTTTACTATTCCTATTTACTGTTATTTTACTATTGTTATGTATTCTCTTATCACAGCTGCCCTGAGCTGTTAAGCCTCTTTAGTCCTGCTTGGACAGGGAATAGAGCTGCTCTGTGGTGGTGTTGACTGCGAGTCATGACGAATAAACCAATGCACTGAAGGTCATCACGTCCAGAAAGATCATTATCCACAATAATAAGGTCAGTATTAACAAACTTGGAAATGTTACAAATTTAGCTTTTTTTTTGGTGTATTTTTATAGTATAACTGCAATAGCTCTTTAAAATAAGGATTAATTTCAAACTAGCAAAGTAGTGCTAGTTCCAAAGGAATCCCAGTACGTTTGTGGGCTGAGAAGCATGTAATCTGTTCAGGGAATAGTTTTATTTGAGCAAGTCAGTGATCTGCAGTGAAACATTTTTCATTAGATTTTATACCCCTGTAAACTTGCATATTGCTGTAAAATTCCCAGTGCTCTCCGCTGTGAAACAACAAAACTGTGTTGTCCTCGTCCTCATCTCACAAGCTGGCCCAAGTCTTGTCTGAGAACCTGGTTGAAAGACGGAGCCTTTATACTACTGGAGTTCACACTCCCCCATTACTGCAGCTTTTAGAATCATCCACTTCTCTGAATATGACTTTGATCCTTCTCTTTGCTGACGGTGTTTCCCCATTTGCCACTTCCATGTGTGTGTATCCTGTGAGGAGCTACCTGCTCCTCAAGGGCTTTCTGTGAGGGCTTCAGTCCTGTTCGGAGTTCTCATAGTCTGTTTTTAACTAAGCTTGTGCACTGAGTCAGCTGTGCCAGGAGCAGGGGAATGTTTCTGTGCTGGTGACCTTTTGAATAGGAGTGAACTGGGCTGTCCCAGCCACAGGCTGCTTCCTCAGACTGAAAACTCGCATGGGGTAATGGTGAAGGAGCTTGGGCAGCAGCGTGGGGGCTGTCCTTCCATAGCGCTTGGGCAGAGCTGTGTGGTTATAAGAGATATCCTGCCAAAAGGACACAAAGTGTGAAAGAAATGAGGAAGGAGGCAATGGAGCTGCTGCGAGGGCTGGAGCAGCTCTGCTCTGGAGCCAGGCTGAGAGAGCTGGGCTGGGGCAGCCTGGAGAAGAGAAGGCTCCTGAAGGGGAGACCTGAGAGCAGCTCCAGTGCCTAAAGGGGCTGCAGGAAAGCTGGAGAGGGACTTGGGACAAGGGCCTATAGGGACAGGCCAAGGGGAATGGCTTGAACCTGCCCGAGGGGAGACTGAGCTGAGCTCTTAGGCAAAAGCTCTTCCCTGTGAGGGTGCTGAGGCGCTGGCACAGGGTGCCCAGAGAAGCTGTGGCTGCCCCATCCCTGGCAGTGCTCAAGGCCAGGTTGGACACAGGGGCTTGGAGCAAGCTGCTCCAGTGGAAGGGGTCCCTGCCCGTGGCAGGGGTTGGAGCTGGAGGAGCTTTAAGGTCCCTTCCAACCCAAACCAGGGATTCTGTGATTCTTTGCAGCACTGGAGAACCCACCCCCATTTTGAGAGCTGAGCAGAGAACACTTCTGTTCCACTGCTCCAGAGCTAAACAAAGCCTCCAGGCACAGCCCAGGCTTTGTCACTGTCCTCAGGTTCCTATGAAGTTAAAGCTGCTCGCACTGTTGGTGAGCACTGAGTCAAGTACTGCTCAAGAGGAAGGGTTCTCAGTGACCTGCGCTGGTGTGCTCCACACAGAGCACTCGTGCAGGATGTTAAGGGCCTGTCTGTCTGCATCAATGTAAGGAGCAGCCCAGACGCAGCAAGGACAGCCGGTGGTACTGTCGGTCACATCCACCTCTGTGCAGACAGCTCTCAGGTCCCAGGGCTTTAATTTGACTTGACAAGGAAGTTAATCATTTATTTTTACATAGAACTCACAGAGACTTTCCTGAACCAGGGGCTGGATGTGGCATAGAGATGGCATTGACATTAAAAAGTGTCTTTCTCCCTGCTTTCATCCGTCTTTGTCTCAGATTGCAGCCTCTTTGGAGTGGGTTTTGTCTTGCTCTGAGGCTCCCTTTGCCTGACAGCTGCATTAAGCTTGAATATCTTTTTTGCAAGGAAATGAGTTTTCAATAACTCACACTCACCTTTTCCTCTCAACAGTATTGATTAGAAAGGGCCTTTGGGGTTCATTGACAATACAATGTACAAACTTGGCACAGCCCCTGCAGACTTTAATGGCTGTTACCCATTCCAGACCGCTGCTGTCCATCTGCGGGCAAAGCCTCTGTTGGGGAACTCTGGAATAAAAACACATGCACGTGGATTTTAGTACTGTAATTCATATTCTGTGTTCTGCTGACAGATCTGAAGCTGTCCTGTAAGTTGTGTATGTTGTGTCGTTTATGAATGTGTTGGGATTAATGGGAAGCATAGAGTGCAAACTATGTTACTATAGGAATTCTATGAAGATGGGCCCACTTTGCCTGGTTTTCCGCTGTTTAATAGAATGGATTGTCTCAGTTTTGTTTGCTTAGGTTTGACATTGTTACCGGGCTTGGATAAACCTGCATAGATTTTAAGTGCTGGTTTGATGATGCACCTCACATCCTGTGTGGAAAGCTCCTTCTGCTGTTGGGCAGTCCCTGTTCCTGCTGTAGCTTCCTTTTCTTTACTTCTATTGCTTGCATCATGAATAACTGAGTATCTGTAAGAAACCAAACACTGTTTTTCTTAAGGCTCTTGTTTTTAAAGCACATAGAAGTGTTCTGCCCATCCTGAGAGCAATCTGAGTTGTTGCTGTCTCCAAGCCATGACGGTTCCAGGGGATGGTGCTCGGACATCCTTTCCCAGCATCCACCTCCTCTGCGCTCTGGGAACTCCAGTGCAAATGAGGGGACAGAAAACGTTTGTACTTTGTGATCTAAATGCTTTGCTCTGTAGAGGTGTAACAACAAATAACATCCCCCTGAGTGGGTCTAGTCCTTGCTGAACCCAGGGGAGAGCTGCTTGATCTGGCTGCGGCGTACCTCCTGCTGTCTACAGCTGCCTTGTGTCCCATGGTGTGCTGGGTGGGTGCTGCTCCCCCTGCCCACCCCGGTGCTGACAGTGGCTGTGTCATCTCCCTCCTTGCAGGCAAGGAAGAAAATGTAGAGGGCCGGAGGCGAGGCCGAAAGCCCGGAGCGAGCGCTGGGCCCCGCGGCATCACCATGTCCAAGAAGGGCCCCAGCGGCCGAGCCCGGGGGGAGAAGCCGGATGCCCTGGCTGCACTGCAGGCTGCCAATGAGGAGCTCAGGGCCAAGCTCACCGACATCCAGATAGAGCTCCAGCAGGAAAAGAGTAAGGTGTGCATCCTTCCTTTCCTTCCTTTAAAGCACAGCCACTGTCCTCAGCGCTGACCACTGTTTGCCTCACTCATCGCTGACTGTGCACGACTTCAACAAGAGCCCTGAGGGCAGCACCGTGACCCAGCCTCTGCAGGAAACACAAGGGCAGCCCCTGTGCTGGAGATGTTTAAACTGTTCTCCTTGTATTTAGAACATACCTATTGTAGAATCAGAGACTGGGTTGGAAGGGACCTCAAAGCTCCTCCAGCTCCAACCCCTGCCACGGGCAGGGACCCCTTCCACTGGAGCAGCTTGCTCCAAGCCCCTGTGTCCAACCTGGCCTTGAGCACTGCCAGGGATGGGGCAGCCACAGCTTCTCTGGGCACCCTGTGCCAGCGCCTCAGCACCCTCACAGGGAAGAGCTTCTGCCTAAGAGCTCAGCTCAGTCTCCCCTCGGGCAGGTTCAAGCCATCCCTCCTATGGCACAAAAGAACACTGGAAGTGTGGTGATGCAGTGACGTGGCTGGCGGTGGGAGAGGCGAGTGGTGAGGATGAGCAGGACGGGTGCTGTGCTTCCTCCCACCATGCAGGGAGAAACGAAGTTGAAATATCACAAAGCTAAATGCCAGCAAAAGGTCTGGAAACCCAAACATCTGCTCGGAGCAGATGGGAGGATCACATGGGGGCTGAAAGCTGTCCTCCTCCTTTGCTTCCCTCGCTACAACTTCCTCTAGTAAATATTTGCCTGTTCCTGAGGGTGGCTCCAGGGAGGGCTTTGAGTGCAATTTGTGTTAGTCACAAATTCTCTTTGCTCATTCATCTCCACATTTACACTGATTTCCCTTGGATTTTATGCTCAAAATCCTTCAATCTGGCTGCTTACAACTTCCAGATGTGCGGCCACAGGCCTCAGCTCTGCCTCCTGCTCCCATCACCAGCGTCCCAGGAGCCACTGCTTCACCTTGAGCTTTGAGAATGGAGGCTTTTGCTGCTCCAGCCTCTGCCTTGAGAGCTTTCAGCCCCTTCCAATGAGGGCATGAAGAGTTTGTTTGCCTTTCCCTCATCGCCTGAATTAGTTTCTACTGATCAACTTTGGGTTTTTTGTGGTTCCAGGATGTTAGTAGCGACATGCATTATCTCTGCATTTTTCCATGTATTTGCATCATTGTTAGGCAGTGTAGAATGTGATTCCAATTTTTAAGGAAGCTTATTACATGTGTCTATATATATATATGTATACACAAAATAACAAAATAGAACATCTATTAAGCCTTTTGTTGTGAAGCAACATTTTCAGTTTTAAGCATGAGGACCCTGTTTTCCTTCTCTGCTCTCCCCTGCCACTTCTTATCGTGGCTTCCTTGCAGTTTATGGTGTGGTTCTCATTCAAATGCCATTTGGGTCTTCTGTGGTCAGGTAGTTGGTTCTTTGTACTGAATAATTCATTGCTTAAAAAGCACTTGGTGAAGTGCAGGTTGTGGATTCACAGAGCTTTCTGTGTCATGCATACGTGTGTGCTCACGGTGCAGTTTGGATCCATGTGCTTGGGCATGCTGAAATAACAGCTTAAAACCTCATTTCTCATGGATTCTTTTGGGATGTGCTGTGAGAGCTTCTGCAGATACCCAGCTGAAGAAGAAAGTGAGGACTTGGACTTACCCACAAGAGGCAGGCTAATTCCTAAATGCGTGTTATCTTACACACACATCTGCTTCTAACACCTACCCTACATGTGTATTAGCCTGCTTCCTGAGCAGACACTTCCTGTCGTGTCTGATTCAGGTGGTCGGTTCATCCAGGCTTTGCTTCATGCATAGATTTATGCTACTTATTTCTATTGTATTAAGTCAATGTTTTTAGGGCACGGAATTGAGCAAATTAACTCGTCGATAAGATTGCAAGGGATGTTTTTATGTTGTGGTTTAACGGAGATGCTAAAATCAGCATTGGTGCCTTGACTGTCATCCTCAAATCAATAATTTGCAATGTGATGATGACACATTTTTGCTTCTCTTTTTCTAAACACGCAAATATTTCTGCTTATGCTGCTTCCTGGTGAAGGAAAGGTCTTTTCTGCAAATTTGCCAGCACTTTTTTTTCTCATTTTTTCCTTATTTTCACAAATTTCCTTTTCCTTAGAAAAATTATTGAAGTTCTCCATAATGCCACGGTTTTGTTTCCCCCCCCCCCCCACAATTTGGTTCTTCAGCGCTCTGTTTGTGAGGCAAGCATAGGCATATTCTTAGCAAGGAAACCTAATTGTGTCAACTGAGGAAGAAAAAGGCATCTTTACTGAACAGCATTGACTGGAATATGTATTCCAAATAAACACTTCAGTAATTACATGAAACGTAAGAAACAGCCACTTCTTAATTCTAGCACTGAATTGTGTGCGCAGGCTGTCTGATAGATGTTACAGGGCAGAAAGGACAGCAAACAGGCATGCACTCCCTGCCCAGGACACCCTGCCCTAAAGAGAAGGTCAAGCCTGCAGCCTTGTCCATGCTGTGGCAAACACATGTGGGAGATGTAGAATCACTTCTTCAACCCTGAGACCTTCTGCCCGCGTTGGTGAGTGTGTTACTGAAGATCCTCACAAGGTACCCACCAAACCTTGAGGCCAGTGAGAGCCGCAGCAGCTACTGAGAGTGTTTGCATTGACTGTCAGAAACCTTTTCCCTGGGAAGATGCTTTACAGGGTTTGTAGCATGTATTCGCTTCACACAAAAGGCATCAAGAGAGGCAATTGCTCTTTCCTAAGCCTACAGCATGGAGGCCCTGCGGCAGAGCTCAGAGTTCAACCTGGAGCCTCCTTAGAAAAGGGATCTTTATATGTAATAAAGTGTTGGATCATAAAGGATGAACAAAATGCCAGATGTGTCAGTCAGCTTGTGGTGATACTGACCCACTGGGTTGAGCCCTCACGCTACCTGCAACACTGAGGTCTGATGTTGTGAAGTGATCTGTGCCACTTTTAAATACCGCTGTGATCTGTGGTAATCATGTTTTGATTCTTCCTTCTAGGTCAGCAAGTTGGAAAGGGAGAAAAACCAGGAAGTGAAGCAGATCAAAGAGCACGAGCAGCATAAAAGCACAGTGGTGGTAACGGAGCTCAAAGTCAAGCTTCATGAAGATAAAATGAAGGAGCTCCAAGCTGTTCGAGAAACGCTTCTGAGGCAGCACGAGGCTGAACTGCTGAGAGTGATCAAAATCAAAGACAATGAAATCCAGAGGCTGCAGACGCTCCTCAACGCCGTGCGCGACGGGGCTCCCGACAAGGTGAAGACGGTGCTGCTGTCCGAGGCCAAGGAGGAGGCCAAGAAGGGCTTCGAAGTTGAGAAAATAAAAATGCAGCAGGAAATTTCGGAGCTGAAGGGGGCCAAGAAACAAGTGGAAGAGGCTTTGACCATGGTCATCCAGGCGGACAAGATTAAAGCAGCGGAGATCAGGAGTGTGTACCACCTGCACCAAGAGGAGATCAGCAGAATCAAGAGGGAGTGTGAGAGAGAAATCCGGAGGCTGGTACGTGCTGTATCTGCATCTCTGTGTGTCCTGCTGTTACGGCGTTGATAGTAAATGAAGGTTGAGTGCTGGATGCAGATGAGTGGGTGATGGGCATTCAGACTCTGGAGCTTTCTTTACGTCTGGTTTATATTCACTAATAGAGATGTCAACATGTCCTTTGAAAACTACCAGGATGTTTTCTAAGGAGCTTTTCCAGTCACGTAAGTGCCTGTTAATGTTCATATTTCAGTGGCCAGGAAGAGGCCTTGGGTTAGGGGAAGTCTACAGAACAGTTATGTTTATGGGCCTATGCCTCTGTTTCCCCCCTATTTGTTCCTTGCTGTTTCCCCTTGATCCCTCCCTTTCCTTGCCCTTGCTAGTTCCCATAAACATCCCATAATGAGCTTTACACAAGCCCAAAATGCCTTTTCTTCTGCACCTCATAGTGAGTCCTATACCCTGTAGGTAATGAGCCCCTTCACTCAGCAAGGCGTGCAAGAAGGGGCTCCTCTCTCTGACCCACCTTGGTGGCTTTCCCCTGGAGCTGGTGCTCCTCACCCATCACTGTTCATCTGGTCCTCAGGGGGTCTTTGTGCTGATCAGCCTTCAATCACCCAATTGAACCCCTTGAGTCTCAGGTGCAACAGGATGAGTCTCAAAGGCAATAATAGGTACGTGCTTATGGCTTCGCAGTATTCCTCCAATGCCTTTGGAGACTGGTTGGAGAGGTTAAACTGGATCATGGTGCTTGGAAAAGGGGGTTGCTTCTATGGACAGGAGGGAGCTCCCTCAAGAGGGAAGGCTTTGCATGAGAGCCTGGCAGGCCACCAATGTTTCCTGGGCTTTGGGATGATTTCTTCTTCACTTCCATTCCAGACTCACAGTCTTGTGAGTGCACAGCTGATGTGCAGGACCATGTCCCTTCACTGTTGCTGCCTTTCCCAAGGGCATGGGAACAACTGGATCACCCATGTTCTTGTGATGCACGTTTTGGGTCTCTTCTCAGTATTTATTTGATGTCACCATCTTTCTGTGTTTGCCACGATTTTTATAGAGTTCAGTGTTTCAGTATAAAATCAGCCACGTCTCTTCAAAGTCATTATATTTGGCTATGATCCAAATCCGTTCAGAACCTCCTGCCGTAGGGGTGGTGCAGTGTTGTCTGTGTCTGGATGAACCTGCTCGAGAGAGTCCAGAGCTGTGCATGGAGATGCTGCGAGGGCTGGAGCAGCTCTGCTCTGGAGCCAGGCTGAGAGAGCTGGGCTGGGGCAGCCTGGAGAAGAGAAGGCTCCTGAAGGGGAGACCTGAGAGCAGCTCCAGTGCCTAAAGGGGCTGCAGGAAACCTGGAGAGGGGCTTGGGACAAGGGCCTGTAGGGACAGGCCAAGGGGAATGGCTTGAACCTGCCCGAGGGGAGACTGAGCTGAGCTCTTAGGCAGAAGCTCTTCCCTGTGAGGGTGCTGAGGCGCTGGCACAGGGTGCCCAGAGAAGCTGTGGCTGCCCCATCCCTGGCAGTGCTCAAGGCCAGGTTGGACACAGGGGCTTGGAGCAAGCTGCTCCAGTGGAAGGGGTCCCTGCCCGTGGCAGGGGTTGGAGCTGGAGGAGCTTTAAGGTCCCTCCCAACACAAACCATTTCATGGTGATAACGAAGCGCAGTGACTGCTCAGCTCCGTTAGTCCATGGGGTGCTATGTACCTTTATTTAGCCGCCCATTCTCTCAGACTTTAGGTTAAAAGATTTTTTCACCATATAGATTATTTTATTTTTATCAAGAGGATATTAAAATACTTTATAACCAACTGATCTATTGATACTGCATCAGCATCCTGCAGGGTAAGTACTTCCTACTCTAAATAGGCATTGCCAGCAGCATTGATTTAATACCTCGGTGTGAAGGGACGGCTAATGTACATCCTAAATAAACTTGCTGTGTTCCCTGGGAAGTCCATGCTAATGGCCTCTAATGGAGAAGCTCTAAACCAAATGTGTTCTTAGTTAGAAGGAAGTGGCTTGACATTGTGCTTTCTAAATTGCCTTTAAAAATAAAACTTTTTAATTCCTGCTTGAAAGAATCCGATTATCCAGCTGTAGTAATTAAATTCCATTGTTTTACCAAGCCCTGAGTGCTTCCTGAATGACTTCAAGTACTCTCAACTCCATTGACTTGCCATAATTGCTTTCAATGGGAGCTGTTGGCTCCTGTACCTTGAGGGTGTTGTGGGAGAAAGGCTGGTGCCACCTCATCTCCTAAAAGCCCTGCTCTCTGTGACTATGAGGCTGTTCTCAAGCACACCATGACTGAAAACCAGGGCTTGTTTCCCTGTATAAGGTAGGAGCCATCAGTAACTGAGGTCCCTGAGCCTCCCCAGGGCTGCAGTGACATAGAGACACAGAACAGCCCACCATGGGCAGGTCTCTGCAGCCCACAGAGTAGTGGGGATTGTACCTCTGGGTAACGGCCATGGCACCCATCCAGCCTCGAATGATGAATGGATTCCCATTGGGAGTTTAAAAGCTCTGATTCATGTACCATGCATTGTTAGTCATTGTAATCGAGGGCGAAGTAACCTTTGAGGAAATTCTAACTTCATGCTTGTGAAAATTCTGCCTTACTTGTTCAGTCAGAACAGAGCAGGACAAGTTGTACTCACTCAGTCATGTTTGGCTTTGCAACGATATGCACAGCTCACACTCCCAAGGGAACCAGTTTTCAGAAGCAAAAGCCTTTAGTCATGTGGCAGAGGGAATTGTGGGGCTCTTTATAGCTGGAATGGGGCAGCAGATCATGATTTCACCTGCCTCACTTAACATTCCTACACTTAACAGCTGAACACTGCAGCTCCCTCAGTGTTGCAGCAGTGACGTCAGTGGAATGTGGAGGTTTGCAGATGGTAGCAAGGGCCCAAGCCCTGTCCATCAGTGCCGGTCCTTTCACCCTGGAGAAGAGAAGCTCCTGAAGGGGAGACCTGAGAGCAGCTCCAGTGCCTAAAGGGGCTGCAGGAAAGCTGGAGAGGGGCTTGGGACAAGGCCCTGTAGGGACAGGCCAAGGGGAATGGCTTGAACCTGCCCGAGGGGAGCTGAGCTCTTGGGCAGAAGTTAGGTGAGGGTGCCCTTAGCAGTGGGTGATGCTCCTGCAAGGACACCCTATTCCCAGCACTGGGTGTGTGGACCAGTCAGCACTGGTGGGCCAGGAGGGATCCCACTGGTCCCACGCCACCGGTCCTGCAGGATGAGACCAGGCTGTGCCACAGCCTGGTGGGATGTGACCATGGACCATCATCTCCTGCTGCCAGTGGCAAGTTGTTCCTTGGCCTTTTGTTTTCCTATTGTTCCTAATGCAAGGAGGAAATGTGCTGAACCATGTTTGCCAGTGAAATGCTTCCTTCCATTTTGCTCCTTCCACAGTATTTCTGCTGGATAATGGGCTGCTGCCATCATTGTTTTGCATATTTGATGAATGTAAATGTAATCTTATGAAAGAAAATTGTTGTTGCCTTTGTTTTTTATGAAGATTATGTTTAGGGTTTTTTTCTGGGAAGTGAAATGCTGTGAAATGTTTTGTGTTTTCTCCAGTTTCCTTTTTCCTCCTAATTTAAAGCATTGCCTATGTTGTAACACGTCTTTGTTTTCATGTGAATAGGGATCAACTATCCAATATTCTGCTTATTCTGAGCAAATAACCATTTGATGATGTGTTAACTTTTCATCTACCCATCCCTTTAGATTCCTGCCTGATCAGATATTTAGCAGAAACACCTCAGGAGGCATTTCTGTTTCATTCAAAGCTAGTAGACCGTTGCCTTAATGGAAATGGTTGAAAGCACCTTTAGATGGCACCCAAAGTACATTTGATTTGCTCTGTCTTACTAAAGGAATCTCTATTTTGCTTAACAGTCTCCATGCAGGCGCTGACGAGTTGTCCCACGGTGTCTTCTGGCAGAGGCTGGCTTTGCCCCCCAGGACCCTGTGGGATCTCTCTGGGCTTGTAGCTCAGTTCTCCCTTCCCGCAGCTACCAGAAGGCAGGACCTTGGGAGCAGCACATGACTCTCAGCCATGGCTGGAGCAGGATGATGCGGCCACCCCTCTGCGCCAGCAGCCTCCCTGCTGTGCCATGGAGGGATGTCATGTCCCGACCCACTGCATCCTCTCCTGGGGAATTTATCCCATAGATGTGCACTGCAGTCACCCCTCTGTCCAAACACATGCCATGGAAGTACTTTCCCAGTACCCCTGCTGGGGGTGTGTAAACCACCACCATTCACTTCTCCCCTGGGTGTTTGCGCACCATTGGAACACGATACCTTGAGAGGTCTATTAATGCACAGTGTCATTTTTTGCAGGTTTGCAGGCAAAGCTAGCAAAGAAAAGTACCAAACGCAGCTCTCACAAGGCAAAAGGCCCTTACCTCAAGCAGGCCACGTTTTAAAACTGCTCATTTCAGTGAAACATGTAAAGTCTCAAAAACCTATGGCAAAAATCTTATGCATTTATGGTGTCTGAAACCAGATCAACAGACATTTTACAGGCTGTGAATGACTTCTTTCTTCCTTAGGATCATTATCTGCCAGCACGGTGGCAGCCCTGTGGTGTGAGTGGTCATATATAATGCATACATGTGCACTCCAGAGGGAGGAGCCTGGGGTTCTGTTGCAGTGCCGTGTATCAGCATGGGCACGGAAGAAGGTGCGGGGCTGTGTTGGGTGATTTTCCATTACTGGGCAGGGCACTGACTGTCCAACCTGCCCCATGTCCAACCTGCCCAGCTGTGCCCCATGTGCCTGAGCTGCAGCACAAGCCCTGTGCTCCAGGCTGGTGAACTGGGGTGGGCTCCATGGAGATGGGGGCTTTAACCCTGCGGTAGCATCTGGAAACATCCAAGTGTGCTCCCCCTTGGAAATATCCCCGCAGCACTGGGGAATGCCGCATGCCCCATCCCACGGTGGTGAGCTGGTGAGAGCAGCAGGCAAAGAGGGCAGAGGAGCACTGGGGACAGCTGGACCTTTGTCATTTAAGCACTTAATGGCTTTGTATAGTGTGTATCATGCATAAGAAAAACCTGTCCTGGGAAGGGGATAATGAAGCAAATTGCTCACATGGGGGACTTCGGGGAGAAGAATTAAAGAACTGCCATTCTGTCTCTATGTTTAAAATGAAAAGGATGTTCAGGTTTTGATGTTTTTCAGTCAAAATTATTATTCCAAAGTTTCAAAAGGTGGTGTCTGAGCAAAATGTTGCAAAATGGTTAAAATGTCTGAGTGAACTGCTCCAAATTGTGATATCAGTATTGCAGCTTAATTTCTTTAAAGATACTCTGAAATGCTACTAAGGGCATGGGTTACTTCCCAGTCATCTTAATGAACTATTCCTGCTGAGAAGAGACTTTATCCTGGGTAGCCCCCAGGAGAAGAGCAATATTCCGGAGTTGTTGAAGTGATTCATCTCATACATGCTATTTGCAAGCGATGCTGTTGTATTTTCCATGTGGAGGGCTGTTGGCACCGGGCACCTCCTGTCTGGCTGTGCTCGGGGTCATCAGATGCTGTGTTGTTGTCAGCCGCTGCCTCGTGTGATTGTGTTCTGTTCTCCTTGTAGATGGAGGAGATTAAGTTTAAGGACAGAGCAGTCTACGTGCTGGAGAGAGAGTTAGGGGTGCAAGCCGGGCATGCTCAGAGACTGCAGCTCCAAAAGGAGGCTTTAGATGAACAACTTTCCCAGATCAAAGAGGCCGATCGGCATCTGAGCAGCCCCAAGCGGGAACTTCCTTATCCAAGTGGTGCAGGAGACGCTTCAGACCATTCGGGAAGCCCCGTAAGCACTTTCACGTGGTTTCACCTACACGAGCGAGCAGACACAGCGCAAAAGGGCACAAAGCGACAATCTTGATGAGCGCACCTCGAGCAACAGCTTTCCCATAGCTGTGCAGGGAGACCCTGGGGCACCCGTCGGTCAAGATCTGAAACGAAACCTTGTTATGGGAGAGCTTTTGCTTGTCTGTCGTTGTGTTTTCCGGTTGGTTTGGTTTTGTTAGCAGGGGGAATCGTTCTGTTCTCTCTTCCTCACTGTACCATACTGCTGCCACCTGCCTGAGCCCCACAGTTTGACACAACTTTGCTAACAAATGATGCAAATGCATTTCTAACAAGTGATGTATGTGTGCTAGCTTCCGGAGCTGCTAACAAGGAGTTTGAGAGCAGATGTACAAGGCCAGTTGACAAGGGGAACTGGGGGAAGGCAATTGGTGCACAAGAGCCTCTAGTTCAGGGTTCCATGCAACAAAGTGCTCTTGCTCTCACCAGCAAGGGAATCCAACACCCATTCACCTGTCCTCTCCTAATTCTCTTCTATAACAAAGTATCCAAACATGAGTTTTTAGTCGCCCTTTCACAATGGCTTGTTTAACGTAACTACAGCACCTTCCTGCTTCTGCCTTACTTTGCTCACATGCCCCCAACCAGTTGACTGACCTCATACATCTGACGTGTGCAGATTTCCTTCATTGCTGATTCTCATCAAGATTTCTTTTGCGACAGCCTTAGTTTCTCTCAGTAGAAGCATAAAGACATAGACAGGAGCAAACCAACCTGGTTTATTCTTTGTCTCAAGCCTCTCCTGCACCTGTTGAATGAGGAACCAAGACCTCCCTAAAGAGCCACCACCGCTGTGGACACTAATTTGTTTCTTTCAATTTGAACTCCACTTCTGCCAAACATGAGAACAAGCCCTAGAGAAGGGGAAGGTCTGTTCCATTCCCGAATAGATGTAACTTCTCTGATTCTGAACGAGAACACATCTACCTATATTCCTACTCACTTATAACTTGATGTAAGCATTTTCACTCAGATAAAGTGGCTTTATGAATTACCCTTTAGAGCCCCATAAGGCCACAGCTTTATGGATGAAGAGCCTGTGCAATGGTAGAATTGCCTGGATTTTCCCTGCTTGTACCCCATCATTTTTAATACCTTTTCCTTACAAAAGGTCCTCAGAGTGGGTGATGAGTCTGAAGCTCTCAGTTCAACAGTGGCATGCACTGGAAACACTGCCTCATATTGAATGTTTTCTTTTCTCTTTCCATGTTTACCATTTATTACATTGTATTTGCATATACATACTTCTGCATTTGCATACTTTGTTCCATTATTCCCACCTTTCCATTGGTCTCATCCTGCAGCTCTTGGGGGCCAGTTAGGTTACGTAGGTTACACTCTGCCCTGCAATGTTTTGGAATGTTTGGATTCGGGATAAGATAAAGTTTGAGCTTTGAAAACCATTGGCTTTGCGTGTGCACTTCTGAGCAGTTATTTGCAGTTGATCTTTGTTTTAGGAACAGCAGTTGGATGAAAAGGATGCCCGGCGGTTCCAACTGAAAATCGCGGAGCTGAGTGCCATCATCAGGAAGCTGGAGGACCGGAACGCGCTGCTCTCAGAGGAGAGGAACGAGCTGGTGAGTGCAGCGGTGGCTGCTCATGAGTGTGCTGCTGTGCCTGTGCCTGGCCCACAGAACACCAGGGTATTTTCTGCTGGGCTCTTTGGAAATCACTGCAGGAGCAGCTGCCTCCTCTCCGTGCTCTTTGGATGCTGGAGAGGGACTCTTTGTCAGGAACTGTAGTGACAGGACAAGGGGTGCTGGGTTCAAACTGAAACAGGGGAAGTTCAGGTTAGGTATAAGGAATAAGTTCTTCCCTGTGAGGGTGGTGAGGCACTCGCACAGGTTGCCCAAAGAAGTGCTAAGTGCTCCATCCCTAGAAGGGTTCAAGGCAGGGTTGGGCAGAGCCTTGGGTGACATGGATTAGGGTGAGGTGTCCCTGTGACCTGGGGGTTGGAACTGGATGATCTTAAGGTCCTTTTCAACCCAGTCCATTCCGTGATTCTAAGATTCTGTTATTTGGTGCTGTGCCACACCACACTCATAGAATCACAGGATGGTTTGGGGTTGGAAAGGACCTTCAGGATCATCTGGTTCCAACCCCCTGTCATGGGCAGGGATACTTCATCCTTGCTTCCATAACAAGGAATTTTTAGGGTGGCATCAGCTGGAGTTATTTTTATCTATTTTCAAAGAGAAATGCATTCCCCACATGATGCACTCATTGCAAAGACTGAATAGCTCATGAAGGAGGAACAACCTGCTTCCCAATGGAAAATACCAAGAGGTTTTGATCAGTTCTGCTTTGCACTGGGAGGAAACACTGCTAGTGCAACAGATAAAGAAAATGATGAATGTATCTGGTGAAAAACGGCAGCCCCAGAGGTGTAAAATCTCTTTATCTTTCAGTTAAAACGTCTGCGAGAAGCTGAGAGTCAGTATAAGCCCATTCTGGACAAAAACAAGCGCCTTAGCAGGAAGAATGATGAACTGTCACATGCCTTACGTCGAATGGAAAACAAGCTAAAATTTGTGACACAAGAGAACATTGCAATGGTAAGTGTGGTGCACTGGGAGCAGCAGGTTGGTTGCTGCTCACAGGGCTGGGGAAGTCAGGCAACATCCCAAATTTGCAAGTCCAGCAGAGAAGCTGCCCCTTCCCGGAGGTGCTGTGGTGCTCTGTGGGGCGCTGCTGAGTGGTTTGTGGCTTGAGCGTTTCGTTTTACATAAAATGTTCTGGTTTAGCTTTAAAAACAACCAGTGATGAAGTCAAGAAGCTGCATGAGCTTTGTGCACTCTGCTCAGTCAGTGCTGCTCAGCTCCCACCTGAGCACAGGTCACCCCACCTCGCCTCTGACTTCAGTGCCAAACCTCCTCCTCATCCCTAAGACATTTGCCCTTGTGAATCCTCCCTGTTTTCCCAGTTAGATATTGCTAGTGGGTGATAGCTGGTAGCTACAGAGGCAACACTGGTCCCAGCTCTGAATTCCTCCTCCTGTGGGACTCACAGTGCCCGGCAGCATGGAAGCACACGTGCAGCCAGGCTGCTGCTATCCCCCTCTTTGGCAGGCAGGTTTGATGGCCCATGTCCTGCTGCTTGCTCAGCAAAAGGGCAACAGGGCAGCTGCCAGAGCTGCCATCAGGTTGGATGCATCTCTAGCTGTCAAGGGAAGGGCTGTGCACTGGCCTTTGGCAATTCCTCCTGAGCATTTCTCTTCTGCCATGTGGTTGTGTTTTTAGAGGCAAAGAGCTGGGACAATAAGGAGACCAAGCTCTTTGAATGACCTTGACCAGGAAGAAAGGGAAGTTGATTTCCTGAGACTACAAGTTCTTGAACAGCAAAATATCATTGATGAGCTCTCCAAGGTAAGATGTAATGCTGCTGCTCCCCTGCGAGTTCAGCTGGGGCTGCAGCAGAACAGGAGGCCTATGCAAGGGAAGCATGGGGCTCCATGGGCTGACGTCACAGCTTGGTCGGTGGGGCATGGTAGGCATCTCCATGATGAACATAAGTTATATGTAGTATGGTATTTGGGAAGAATCCCTTCAGTCTACATGGCCTTTGCATGACAGAACCATTGCAGCATGTCCAGGAGATATGGATATAGAGGGAACGTCAGAGCTGCTTTATCTGGAGATAGCATCAGGGCTAAAGACTGCTGTGTATGAGGGGGTGTTCTGCAAGGCTGTGCGTGGGGTTTTGTTTCTGTGTTAGCATGTTTGCAAAAAGAACATACTGAAATCCTAATGCTCAATGCTCCTCAAGAAAATAAAACCTTTTTTATTTAAGGCTGTGCACTTACTGACGCTATTTCATCCTTTTTCATTAGACACTGGAAACTGCTGGCTATGTGAAGAGTGTCATGGTAAGAATGATGTTAACTTCGTCCTCACCTTTGCATGAAAGCCTTCAGAGTGTGATAATATTTGTTAGCACTTACATCCCTGTTAACAAGTTAGCACAGTGCTTTTCTCAGCATAGATGTTGTCAAAGGCCATAGCAGCAAAGCTTGTGTTGCAAGCAAAACAGTATTTGATTTTCTGCTGTCACTGCTGCGGATGTCAGGATTTGCCATTGGGCTGATGGTGGTGGCACATTAGCAATGTCCCACACTGTCATCGCATCCTTTTGCCACATGGTTAAAAGGAAAGAGTACAAGGGTTTCCTGTTAGAGGTTTTAAAGCAGTCCGTGAGTCTATGGTTCTATTTTGAGGCAGTGGCCAGCACTGATGGTATCATTTCTTGACTGCTAGTACTGACATAGTTAAACAGCAGCTCTCTAAACAGCTAACATATGTATCTGATTCTTTCAGGAGCGTGATAAACTGTTGAGGTATAGGAAGCAACGGAAGAAAATGACAAGAATTCCTAAGGTGAGGAAAAAGGCTTCTATTAAGGCGTGTTGATGGGCACGGGCATGCTGGCTTCCTGGGGTGCTCCATGCACCTCGGAGCCACAAGGGGGGATGTTGTCCTCAAGGGTCTGCAGACAGGTCATGGCCTTGAATTTGGTCACACAGTTCAAGGGCATTCATAGCCTGGTTGGGATGTTCAGAGGAGAGCTGCTGGGGACAGAGGGACTGTTTGCATTGCACACTGTGAGCATCTGCATGTGCTGCCTTTACCAGAGCAGTCCCGCGGGAGCCCAGTGCTGTGTGAGTGTGTTCAGATGAGACAGATTTCATGAATTAACACATCTCCAAACGATGCTCTAATGGCACTGCCTGGAAGCACGTGTAGGCTGTAAATAATTCATGTCAGAGGTTAGTAACATGCAGAACTCGCTGGTTACAAGAAGCATCAGGCAGAGCTCAAGGAAACAGAAAACACTGGTTAATGAACACTTGGCAGGATGTTGATATAAATGTTAACTCTGTAACAGCATTGTAAGGTCTAATATCAGGGACCTGAGAGCAAGCTGTGTTCTATGTATGAAGAACCAGCTAATAGATCTATAAATAACAAATTGTGGCCAATGTGAGATAACTCCTCCTGCCATCCTGCAAACGGCAAGCAGGCCTTTGAAAGAGCTACGTTTCGTCTCCTTCAAGAGTCATCCACTGCAAATTAAAACAAGCAGCCAAAATCTAGAAATGCTTTTGTAAATAGGCACTGAAAAATATCTTTGGAACTGTGTTTGCAGCACTGTCTTTGGCTTTCAGTCAGTTAATGGTAAATCTGTCTTTACCACCACTACCCTCCTTCCTTCAAACAGAAGGCAGCTTGGAGTAGGAAACTGGATCTCTTCAGACTGTACAATCATAGAATCATAGAATAGTTAGGGTTGGAAAGGACCTTAAGATCATCCAGTTCCAACCCCCCTGCCATGGGCAGAGACACCTCACACTAAACCATGGCACCCAAGGCTCTGTCCAACCTGGCCTTGAACACTGCCAGGGATGGAGCATTCACAACCTCCCTGGGCACCCATTCCAGTGCCTCACTACCCTAACAGGAAAGAATTTCCTCCTTAGATCCAATCTAAACTTCCCCTGTTTAAGTTTGAACCTGTTACCTCTTGTCCTACCACTACAGTCCCTAATGAAGAGTCTATCCCCAGCATCCCTATAGGCCCCCTTCAGATACTGGAAGGCTGCTATGAGGTCTCCACGCAGCCTTCTCTTCTCCAGGCTGAACAGCCCCAGCTTTCTCAGCCTGTCTTCATATGGGAGGTGCTCCAGCCCCTGATCATCCTCGTGGCCTCCCCTGGACTTGTTCTAACAGTTCCATGTCCTTTTTATGTTGAGGACACCAGAACTGCACACAATGCTCCAAGTGAGGTCTCATGAGAACAAAGGGGCAGGATCACCTCCTTCGACCTGCTGGTCACACTCCTTTTGATGCAGCCCAGGATACGGTTGCTTTCTGGGCTGCAAGCGCACACTGAAGCCGGCTCATGTTCATTTTCTCATTGCCCAGCACCCCCAAGTCCTTCCCCTTGGGCTGCTCTGAATCTCTTCTCTGCCCAGCCTGTAGCTGTGCCTGGGATTGCTCCGTCCCACTGCTGTGGTCAGCTTCCCATCTCCCAGGAGAAGAGTTTGGCAAATCTAACTTGCCATGTGACAGTTGCAGTAATGGCAGGAGGGACACTGGAGGTGGCAATAGTCTAGCAAAACCACTTCAGTGCACAGCTCCCTCCCGACATGGAGGTGCACACCCAAAGCGAACAGAGTGCTCTGAGCTAGAGCAAGCTGGAGGAAAATGCCTTAGAAGGAGGCAGGGAGCTGAGGTTCCTCCCAAGGGGGGGTGTTCAGAGCCAACAGGGGCGCAGGGTTTGGCTGCGTGTCCAAAGCTGCCACTGTGCCCCGATGCCCTGGGGCTGGCGCTGCCGGTGGCACCGCTGCGGTCAGTGACATCTTCTCTCTGCCAGAAGCCGGTTGTGGAGACGTTCTTTGGCTACGATGAAGAAGCTTCCTTGGAGTCTGATGGTTCCTCTATCTCGTACCAAACTGACCGCACAGATCAAACCCCTTGCACGCCTGAGGATGACTTGGAAGAGGTACCCATCAAAACCCCATGGTGTCTGTGTTGAAACCTCTCTGCTAGTTTTCAATGCCATTCCTGCTCTGTTACACCCCTCATCTGTCCCCTCGGACCAGAAAATGAAAACTTGATGTTCCATTTAATATTGTGCATGTTGGTTAATATCCCTCAAGTCTCCAGTAATTTCACAACTCTTAACCAAGCTCTAAATATTAGATCCTAAGAATACTACCTGTAGAATGGATTTATAGGTTAGAGGTCTAAAGTGACTGAGCCGTTGGACAGCCCTGGGAAGATCTGTTCACACTGAGGTTTACTGCAGGTTTGTGCACGCGTAGTTTGGTTCGGGTCCTTCTGTTTGTGATGTGAGCTCAGCCCGGAGCACAGCCTTGGGCTCTGAGGTTTGTGTTGCTGGAGGAGAGGTTACAGCCCCTCAAACCGCTGTCTCCAGAGGAAGGGCTGTCCCTCCTACTGAGGTGGTGTCTTCTGGGGAGGCTCTGAATGCAGAGTGCAGAGGTGATACACGTTAAAGTTACTATTCCTGGTATCTTACAGGGCTCCCCTACACACGTGTTCCCAAGTGCATGTCAGATCCCTGCTCTGTTCCATGTCTCTGGGCTCAACAAGAATCTTGTCATGGACAAAAACCCCTGATAATGACTCTTGATGGTTATTATATTGTATTTATACTCAGCCTTATTACGGTGGCTGCCTGTGGTTCTTCATCTGCCATTTCCCCTGCTCCATGCCTTGTCAGGAGATCTGTTAAAAGGGAGCCTAAAGAATTCTGCTCTCCCTCATAAAAGATACATGGCTGGTTGTGGGGTCTGCGCCGCACTGCAGGAGACCTGAGTGTATTTCTATCTTGATCTCTCATTCCTGTATTGGCGTGTTCCCTGTTGAACAGTACAAAGTGTCTGCATGCAGCCAGCAGTGTAATTGCTTTCATGTCAAACGCAATATTCTGGTCAGCCTGATACGAACTCATTCAGTGCTGGGTACTGTAAGGAGAGTGAAGAAGAATGAAGGGTTCTTTTCATGTCAATGTCATCATTGCTGCAAGTATTAACTCTGGATCAGTGTTTTAATGCTTGAGTGAGGCTGTCGGGCTCGGCTTGGGAAAGCTTGGAAACCTTTTGGTTTTTTGCAAAAGTTGTGTTTTCATCTTTAAATGTGATGACTTTTCCTGCTACAGTAATAAAGGGTGATTCAGTAATTAGTATGGGACATGGATGGCAAGCTTTTACCATGGCAGGAGAAAATATCTCTTTTATTTCCAATATTGCATTTTCTTTATGTAAGGGTGTGCAAGAGATGTTTATGGGACAAAAGCGATGCGGTCTGCAGGCACATAACTGAGATCAGCACTGTGCTTCCTGAACTGCATCAGAATTCTGTCATTTTTTAGAGAAAGCAAATATTTTTACTGTCATTGCAGAAAAAAGGCAACAAACCCAGTGCATCCTTGGCTTTCATTCCAGGGCATGGCCAAGGAAGAGACAGAACTGCGGTTTCGGCAGCTGACGATGGAGTACCAGGCTCTGCAACGAGCATACGCCCTATTGCAAGAACAGGTCGGAGGAACATTGGATGCAGAACGAGAAGTTAAGGTCTAAATGGCTTATATTACATGAAAATAAAGGATTGTCATTGTATGGGGGTTTCCACTTGCACTTGCTCCTTTGTTTTATGTTTGTTGGGCAGGACACAGCCAGGCTGGGTGCTGATGGGCGCTGCGGGGTCTCTATCTCCATCCAGCCCATCCAGCCTGCAGGGCTGGTCTGCTGGAGGAACCACTGTTACTATGCTTTTGTCTCTTCGCCTCTGATCAGTCTAAGAGAAAATCAGAGAGAATTTTTTATGGGAAAACTTTAAAATTAAGCTCCTCTATAAAACCCTAGGCCATCTATCTTCAATATATAATGCTTGGTGTTGAATTCCTTCTGGGTTCTGTGAGATTCCTCAAAAAATGTTTAGAAAGCTTATATCTGTGATTCTTTTTCTTATTTCAATTGCAAAGTGTCCTGTGCTTTTCTGCCTGCCTATCTGCCTCATACAGCCCATGTGGATGCACACACCTGGCATAAAATCGTTGAGTCCAAGACTGGTTTGGGTTGGAAGGGACCTTAAAGCTCCTCCAGCTCCAACCCTTGCCACGGGCAGGGACCCCTTCCACTGGAGCAGCTTGCTCCAAGCCCCTGTGTGCAACCTGGCCTTGAGCACTGCCAGGGATGGGGCAGCCACAGCTTCTCTGGGCACCCTGTGCCAGCGCCTCAGCACCCTCACAGGGAAGAGCTTCTGCCTAAGAGCTCAGCTCAGTCTCCCCTCGGGCAGGTTCAAGCCATTCCCCTTGGCCTGTCCCTACAGGCCCTTGTCCCAAGCCCCTCTCTGACAGCCAAACTCCTCCAGCTCAGTGCTGTGTCTGCAATAGTATTTCACCCTTCCTAGCTCTGTAACTAGTCTGGTTTTCTTCCACTGAATAATTCAATGAATTAACTGCTAATTTCATCACAGTCTCCAGTGGTGAGCACCTCTCAGCCATCCAGATTTAGCAGCATCCCGTGTCTCCCAGCAGCCTTCCTCTTTGGCCATCATGGATAGTCTCACTCTTGAGGCCCCAGTGCATTGAAACTGACATTCTGATAAGCACACGCTCTGCTCTGAAGTTTTAGTTACTGTACAGGTAAAGAAAATCATCAGGAAACAAGACATGCCTGACCTGAAAAGTGCCTTGATTTCACTTTTTCCATAATGAGACAAAAAGAGAGCAATGCAGGTAATGCAAGCAGATCAGATCATGTTCATTCTAACAAGACAAATAGCAGATAAGTGGTTTGAGGAAAGAAAGTTTTCTATAAAGCAACCTTTAATGAATAGAACAGCTAATAGTAATCATATTTATTGTCCAGAAAACAGCTGTAGGAAGGTGGTGTGTATTTAAATAAGCATGAAGCTGTAAGTATGGTAAATAATTGCACACAATGCAATAAGAGCATCAGATAGGGCACGACATGCATGCAGAGCAACACAGTTGGCCAGTTTGTAATGTTATATGTGTAGGGGCTGTTCTGAGCTTCTTAACTTATCAAAAGTTAAAGGAAACAAGTGTGCCCAGAGCTGTGGCATTGTCATTTTAATGTGTTTTCATGGAGAAATGAACCTTCGCATGACACTGCCTTTCTTAAAAGCCCTGTTCTAGGTTAGGGAGGGCTGATGAGTGCAGGCTGCTATAGCCAGCTGGGAGAGGCCACTCACATTTTGCTGCCCTGATGGGATGCTGCTTATGTCCATCCTGAGGTCAGGCTCAAACCTCTTACCCTGTCTTGGAGACTTCTTTCTATGACGAATGACTCCAGTGCTTTGCTGCAAACTGATTCTGGCACAGAACTTTAAACCCCATTGGTTAAAAGTATTTGATGTTTTCAGCATTTTCTGTCCCCGTGTTGGCTTTGGTCTGTTACAGAAAGTTTGGCTGATGGTTTTGTGTCTTCTCCCCTCATATCCCACAGACACGTGAGCAGCTCCAAGCAGAAATACACCGCTCGCAGGCTCAGATCCAGGACCTGGAGAAGGCCCTCGCGGAGCAGGGGCAGGTAACGCCTGTGGCCGAGCCCCTGATACGTAATGTCCTGGGGGTTGTGGACTTTATATATTCATCTAAGAAATCAGTTTAAAAACAAGGTTTATTTTGCCTAATAATCAGGAATACGTAACTTATTTTCAGTGTAGTAGAAATTCAATAGTTAGAAATACCCCTTTTAATGCAAACTAATATTTTAACCTAAAAGAGGTTCTCAGTCACTGGAGTGTTTCTATTCCATTTGTATACTTCAAACTGTTAAAATAATGGAAAAGTTCAGCTTAGGAAGTTCTTTTTGGAAATAATGGAATTACAGTTTCATATGCACCATTATTCTGTCCATCTCCTCCATCTGCATGATTTACTGCAGTACTTGCTGCTGTGTTTGTGCTACCCATTGCCAGCTTCACCTGCAACATTGGTCATTTCTTTCCCAAGGACATGAAGTGGATTGAGGAGAAGCAAGCGCTGTATAGAAGAAACCAGGAACTGGTAGAAAAGGTATTCAATGGTTCTAGTTATATTATTCAAATAATATTTGCAGTTTAAGGGATGCAGAAGGTGCAATATTTTAAACTGTACCACACAGCTCTGATGGAAATAATTAGTGTATAATAAGATGATATGTATAAACCTGCCAGGAGAAGGAGTTTCTGGCCTTCCCTGTTGTCCCTTACATGTTTTCTGGCCACCCCTGTTAGCCCATGCAATGTCCATGTCACTAAGGAGCCCCCATTCTCCACCACTGGTGCCACATGCCCCTGCTCACACTGATCCCATGTTTCCCTGGCATGATCTCAAGTGACACTGCAGGCAGTGCTAACCACGGGCTCCTTGTTTTGCAGATAAAGCAGATGGAAGCTGAGGAAGCTCGCTTGAAACACGATGTCCAGGACGCAAAGGATCAGAACGAGCTCCTGGAGTTCAGGATCTTGGAGCTTGAAGTGAGCACGTGTTGCAGCCGTGGTCCTGCCCTGGTTTGTGTGAGCTCTGGCTGGGGGCACTCGCCCATATGTACTGTAAAGAGTTATATTGCCCTGAATGTGAGCAAAGGGTCTGGGACAAAGTGCTAATGAAGGAGGAAAAACATCCCGAACACCCAGGGATCAATGCCAGTGCTCTAGATAGGTTGTTCTGGCAATCTGGCTACTTAAATAATTTAACTTCCAGTAGATTGGCTCATGATGTGGATACACATTTACCGTACTCCATCTGTCCTGAAAATGCAGAGATAAAACCTGCACAGATCATACATGGGAGAGAGAAAGAAAAAGCAACTTTTGTTTTCATTGCCGAAATCCATGGCTCTGTTTCACCTCTTGCTAAAGATGCAGAGGAGGAACCATGTGCCCCAGGTTGCTAAAGTTACTCCACTGAGCCTTCTGTTTTCTGCTGCATTATCCAACCTGTACAAGCTGAATCTATAAGCTCTTGGAAACTGTATTTAAATTCTCCAAAGAGAGATTAACAAAGCAGACACTAGTAAGGGAGATGTAAACACTAGATTGTATTAGATGTAAGTGTATAGAATCATGGAATCACAGGTTGGTTTGTGTTGGAAGGGACCTCAAAGCTCCTCCAGCTGCAACCCCTGCCACAGGCAGGGACCCCTTCCACTGGAGCAGCTTGCTCCAAGCCCCTGTGTCCAACCTGGCCCTGAGCACTGCCAGGGATGGGGCAGCCACAGCTTCTCTGGGCACCCTGTGCCAGCGCCTCAGCACCCTCACAGGGAAGAGCTTCTTCTTTTGTTCAGTATTTGTTCAAATATATAATGTAGTCAAATGATAGGGAAGTGGTCATGGTTGGTGTCCATTGAAGCAGCATGGTGGGAAAATGTGAGCACTGTTAATATTACATTGATAATATATGGCTGATCCCCTGTGCAGTGAGATGAGGTCTCCATCACAAAGCACAGGGTCTGGCTGAAGGATGCCTCTGGTTCCTGGCTCTTAGTGCCAGCAGACCCAGGGTGCAGAGGGAAGGGTCTGCGTGCTCTGTGCACCTGAAATAAAGCCACCCTGTGACAGTGTGGCTTCGTGATGGGCTCCGTTAGAGCAGCCCTTTCCACACCGTGTTCCTCAGGCTCTCTGTGATCGAGGAGGTACCACCGTGGGTATAACCAAGCAACTCTTGTCATTGCAGGAGCGGGAGCGGCGATCGCCTGCCATCAACTTCCACCACGGCCCCTTTACAGAGGGGAAAAGCCCTCTCCAGGTGTACTGCGAGGCAGAAGGTGTAACAGTAAGGGATCCTCCTGTCGTGTTTTCCTCCCCTCAGTGAAGCCAGGCGCTCTGTTCTGACTCCTGCTTTTCCCTTTCTCTCTTGTTAGGACATAGTAGTAGCAGAGCTGATGAAAAAGTTGGACATTTTAGGGGATAACGCCGTAAGTGTATGTTCCTTTAATAAATTGTGCATGCTTTGGTCAGTGTTAGTCCTCCTGTGAAGCTAGCAAAGCCTCCTTGGGTTGCTGCTGCGCATCCTGTCCTGCAGCCGAAGCACGGGGCTGTGAGCTCAGCATTCCCTGGCTCTTCACGGGGTGGTTGCAGGCTCCTGGCAGTGCCATGCGGGATCCTGGTGTCACAGCATTGCTCTGAGTGTTCCAATGGCTTGGAAAAGATTTTGCATTGGGTTCAGTTTCTTCTGGCCACCGTCCCCACAGGCTCCTTTGTTGCTTTGCCTCTGGTTTGCTTTGCTTTGCTTTGGCATCCTAGCAGCTCCGTGTTCTGCTTTTGCCTAAGCCCCATAAACCTTTGGTAGCAACCAGGATATTAAACAAAAAGCTACAACAGCAGCATGAGAAGCAGCAGCAAATAATAAGGAATTTGAAAGCATTTCTCCTTTAGCCAATGGAAGTGAGTAATTACACATACAGTTAGGCATTTAAAGGTGCATAAGCCCTTGTGTATTTGTTCCCGGCACTCCTATCTGTAAGCAAAGGCACAGAGCCCATGGCTGCGCAAGCAGAGGGGAGCAGAGCCCTTGGCCACTGCAGGGAGACCCCACCACTGGCTCTGCAGAAAGCCATCAGCTCCCTAATCATGGGAATGACAGCTCGTGGCTCTCTGGATCGGGACAAATGTGGCTGCAGACCAGAGGGATTCCTTCCTCCTGGGGTGCTTATGGTCAAAGACCAAAGTTTGGATCACATACAGAACTCCGTACTTGAGTGTTTTAAAACAGCAGCAAAACCTGGATGGAAAAGCTGACATCTTCACAGGTGCTTTCCAAACTCATGGCTTTGCCCCATAAAATAAGGATTGTGTCTTAATGTACTGTGCATGGAATGAACTCACGGACTGACAACTGCATCCCTTCTGAAAGGCACACTGTGCTAAGCTTGGTCTTGTCTTGTGTAACTGTGTTTATTCCCTGTTGGCTAGAAACAGGCCCAGTGTCACCTGGTTTTTTGGTAAACGAGAGAATTTTGGAAGAATTAACTCTATATATGATAGGATTCAACCCAAAGAGTTACACTTGTTTTTACAATGATGTTACAACACTAATTTTCCCAGTTTCTTGTTCCTTGAACATTATTTAATTTCATATTTATTTAATACAGCAGTGCCCAAGTAGTGGATTTATAGCAAGACACTGGGATTTGTTGTAATTCTATTCTGCTTTTGGTGCAGAATCTGACCAATGAAGAGCAAGTAGTTGTCATACAAGCAAGGACCGTCCTCACGCTGGCTGAAAAGGTAAGAACAGCACATCAAAACCAAACTCATTGCTAAATACATGTTGTGAGAGCACCTGGCAGCCCCAGAGCAGCTCACCTGGAGGCACGTGTGAGGTGGGGGATGGCTTCATCACCAAATGCTGTGGTTCTTTATGTGGAATTAAGACTAGTTTTTGTCAAAATGAGGGTGACATTCAGGCAATACAGCCAAACATTGCTTAGATTTAAGTGTTATTTAATTAACAAAATGATGTTAGAAGGTAAATGGCTTTGAAATAGTGCTTTTCTTCCCTCAATGTATATAATAGAAAATAAAAAGTAAGAATACAGTAAGTTTTCCTCTTTTATTTAGTGAATTTAAGTGAGTAGTTGCCGTGTGTGCTGATAGCTCCTAAAGTCACAGTCAGCACTGAATACGAGGCGTGCTGCCTCTGCCACGTGGGCTTAATCCCCTGCTCTCTGTTTTGTGCAGTGGCTACAGCAGATAGAAGTGACAGAGTCTGCGCTGCAGCAGAAGATGCTGGACCTTGAGAATGAAAAGGTACCAAGGGAAGGAACCTCGGGAGAAGCAGCAGAAGAGCATCACAGTAGATGCCATTGCACTGATGCCTCTTCCCCTGTCCCCAGGAGCTGTTCAGCAAGCAGAAGGGTTACCTGGATGATGAGCTCGACTTCAGGAAACAGTCCCTGGACCAAGCTCACAAGGTGAGGAAAACCAGCTCAATGATGGCATCTTGGTTAACTTCCCTTGTGTAATACGTGTGGTCTGCTCCCTATAGAAAAGCTCTGCTCTGGACAGCACTGCACATAGAGTAACCCAAGAACTAAACAAGCTCAGTTTTAAACAAACCCCTCTGTGCTCTGCACTAACAATGAATTCCTTATGGACAGAGTTCCTTGTGTTTGGGTGGACCTTACAGGATTAGAACATTAACTCATGAAACCCAAGTTCTAATGTAGCAGAGGTTTCAGAAAATGACTGGCAAGAAAATGATGCTTTCAGTAAGTTCTCTTTCCCCTCCAAATTAGAGCTGTTAGGCTGGACATCTTAGGTTCCAGCCTCTGTAACCAGAACAGCTGGAGGCATTGTGTGATGCTGCACACTTGAAATGAAACTGCTTTTAGGCCAGGTTCATCATTAGCTGATCCTAAGCCATTTCAACCATATCAAAGAATCCTGGTATGGTTTGGGTTGGAAGAGATCTTGTAGTTCCAGCCCCCTGCCATGGGCAGGGACCACCATCTCCTCAGTCATCTGCTGTCTTGTTTCCTTCAATTAGAGAAAAGGTCAATCCGTACTCATGAAAGACACACATTTGCATATCAATGTATCTCATTCTGTGGGTTCCATTTAAATCTCAAACACAGTTATGCTTTCTGAGAAGCAATATTTATGCTTCTCATTCTGGATCCGTCCTCTATTTTGATCACAAACCATCTGGGGGAGCTTGTACTCAATACATTTTCTGTCTGTAAGGATGATTTTCAAGACTGATTTGCCACAAGCTGAGCTATAGCTGGAGCTGGAGCCGGTGTCTGTGCACAGCATCTCCATGGCCTCCTCTGGCCTCCCTCCAACAGCTCCACGTCCCTCTGGTGCTGCTGCCCCAGAGCTGGGTCAGGGCTGCAGGGGGGTCTCACAGAGCACAGCAGAGGGGCAGGATCCCCTCCCTGTGCTGCTGCTCACGCTCTGGGGTGCACCCAGCACACGGGGGGGGTTCTGGGCTCAAGTGCAAACTGAAGCCGGGCCATGGGGAGTCATGTTGGGTGATGCTGGCTCACGTTGAGGCATCACACCATGTCTGCAGGCGAAGCAATGGGCTTCACTCCCGGGCATAAAAGCAGCCTGAAAGCAGGAAGGAAGCTTTGTTCTGCCCTGAATTCAGAGTGGTGAAAGCTCCTTTGATTTGTTTAATTTGTTTCACTTCCATGTTTTCTTTGTGCCCCTTGGGATGAGGAGCTGCTAATGATCCCCACTAACTGCAGCCAACAGGATTACCAGCCATAACCACTGAGCTTCTTGCATGGTTTTCACTCCCTTGGCTGCTGGTGGGGGATTCTGCTCTGAGAAACACTTGGCTCACACACAGACTCCTGCTGCTGCTGCTGCTGCTGCTCTGGAGGCTGTGAATTCCCCCACACTCTTCTTCCTTCACAAGCCAGTGTAATCTCAGAGCACAGCAGTTGTTTAACTGAGGCTTGGGGCCCAACAGAAACCCATGTTTCAAACAGCAGCATTTTGTTGAGGCAGTGCTGGTTAGCAAGGATGTTGGTGGTGGTTTTGAAAGTGAAAGCAGAGTCTTCTCCTGAGATCGGATCTCATCTTCTCACAGAGAAACCATGGTTGCTGTCCATCGGTTAGCATCAGTACCCAGAACTTCTGCCATGATACTGTTATTCTTGTAAATGCTCCTATTCTTTGGTCTGGCTGCCTCAGGTGGGAAAACTTAATGGTTTTTAACTGAGCTGAGTTCTCACTCCAGACATCAACAGCATCGTCAAACAGCCCATGTGGAGGTACAACCCACACTAGTGCAGCAGCCTCCTGAGGCCATGGAGAGCCCTGCAAGGTTCAGCCTGCACCATCGCAGTCCCCTTCTGAGGCCATGGAGAGCCCTGCAAGGTTCAGCCTGCACCATCGCAGTCCCCTTCTGAGGCCATGGAGAGCCCTGCAAGGTTCAGCCTGCACCATCGCAGTCCCCTCCTGAGGCCATGGAGAGCCCTGCAAGGTTCAGTCTGCACCATCACAGTCCCCTTCTGAGGCCATGGAGAGCCCTGCAAGGTTCAGCCTGCACCATCGCAGTCCCCTTCTGAGGCCATGGAGAGCCCTGCAAGGTTCAGCCATGGAGAGCCCTGCAAGGTTCACCCTGCACCATCGCAGTCCCCTCCTGAGGCCATGGAGAGCCCTGCAAGGTTCACCCTGCACCATCGCAGTCCCCTCCTGAGGCCATGGAGAGCCCTGCAAGGTTCAGCCTGCACCATCGCAGTCCCCTCCTGAGGCCATGGAGAGCCCTGCAAGGTTCAGCCTGCACCATCGCAGTCCCCTTCTGAGGCCATGGAGAGCCCTGCAAGGTTCAGCCTGCACCATCGCAGTCCCCTTCTGAGGCCATGGAGAGCCCTGCAAGGTTCAGCCATGGAGAGCCCTGCAAGGTTCAGCCTGCACCATCGCAGTCCCCTCCTGAGGCCATGGAGAGCCCTGCAAGGTTCACCCTGCACCATCGCAGTCCCCTTCTGAGGCCATGGAGAGCTCTGCAAGGTTCACCCTGCACCATCGCAGTCCCCTCCTGAGGCCATGGAGAGCCCTGCAAGGTTCAGCCTGCACCATCGCAGTCCCCTTCTGAGGCCATGGAGAGCCCTGCAAGGTTCAGCCTGCACCATCGCAGTCCCCTCCTGAGGCCATGGAGAGCCCTGCAAGGTTCAGTCTGCACCATCACAGTCCCCTTCTGAGGCCATGGAGAGCCCTGCAAGGTTCAGCCTGCACCATCGCAGTCCCCTTCTGAGGCCATGGAGAGCCCTGCAAGGTTCAGCCTGCACCATCGCAGTCCCCTTCTGAGGCCATGGAGAGCCCTGCAAGGTTCAGCCTGCACCACTTGTGTACCTCGGTACATCTGGGGGGCACATCTGGAGGGCACATCTGTCTGTGAGCAGCAGCCATTTTCTGATGCAGTAAAATCTCTGCAGCCTGAGACTGCAGGAACAGAGCCCAGCTTCCAGATACATTTTTCATGAGCATAAAGCCTCTCGGAGCTGACGGCTCTGCCAGGGAGGGCTGGAAACACACAGCAGGCATTGTAAGCTCATTGGTACCAAATGCTGCAAGCACACAGCAGGGAGCTGTTGCGTTCTGGCAGGAGCTGGTGCTGCCCTGTCCTCTGCTGCTGCAAACAGAAAACTGAGAGACGGAACACTGCATTTAAATACCTGCAACTCGCAAAATGAGGCCTCAGAACCATTGTTCCTTTTCCATTTTCATGGAATCATAGAATGGTTTGGGTTGGAAGAGAACTTAAAGCTCCTCCAGCTCCAACCCCTGCCATGGGCAGGGACCCCTTCCACTGGAGCAGCTTGCTCCAAGCCCCTGTGTCCAACCTGGCCTTGAACACTGCCAGGGAAGTGTCCCCTTTTCCTTTTACACTTTTCCCTTCCCCTTTTTCTCTTTTCAATTTTTCTCTTGTCCTTTTACCTTTTCCTTTTGACTTTTTCTCCTTTCCCCTTTTTTCTTGCCCCTTCTGCCTTCTTGTTTTATTTTTCCTCTTGCCGTTCCTCCCTGTGGCCATCTCCCGTCTCCATAAAGGAGGCATTGACACCCATACGTTTGTGGAGAGGCAGACTCGGCTGGGCACAGGGGCCACCCCAGGTCCAGTGCTGCTCAGAGCACGGGATCAAAGCATCCTGAAGTATTTCCCCCATGTACTGAGCTTTCCCCACTGTCTGGCAGGAAGCTGAGCTCCCAGCCCCTCCACCGTTCCCATTCCCTTACCAGGGCAGGGTGTTCAGTTCCTCACAAGCAGGCGCGGTGAAGCTCACAGCCTCGTGTTGTTTTTGATCAGCAAATTCTGGAATTAGAAGCCATGCTCTATGATGCCCTGCAGCAAGAAGCTGGAGCCAAAATCTCCGAACTCCTTTCAGAAGAAGAGAAGGAGAAGCTGAAGAGCGCCGTGGAGCAATGGAAGCGGCAGGTGATGAGCGAGCTCCGGGAGAGGGATGCCCAGATCCTGCGGGAAAGGATGGAGCTCATCCAGCACGCACAGCAGGTAGGCAGTGGTGCCGGGGTGGGGTGAGACCTGGGGTGGGATGGTCCCTCAGGTGGAACGTAATGAGCTGGGGAGCACCAGCCTCTCCTTAGAGCTGTACCAGAACTGGCTGCTCTGGGTCAGGTTCTGCTTTCCCTTGGATCTGGTCCCTGCAAACAGGGCCCTTTGGTTTTCCCAAAGTGTCACTTGTGGTGACAGTCACAGAGCACTCATCTACAGCTTAAAGCCCAATCTGGTGTTCTAGAAGCACAGCACATACAATTTGTATCTCCCAAACTAATGCATCTTCTGGGTACGTGTGTATTTGGTTGGTTAATAAATATTTCTTTATTTGACATCTGACAGAGAATTAAAGAGCTAGAAGAAAGAATTGAAGGCCAAAAAAGACAAATAAAAGAGTTAGAGGAAAAGGTAAGGTAATGCAGACAAAGTTCCTGTATGTGCACATGACCATCTGTTAACTTCACCTTGGCTAAGGGAACGGTCTCAGTTTGTGTGTGCCAGTGCAGTGAGTTCATGTGAGAGCACCAGGAAACCATCTCGCATTGGCATCAGTCCCCTGAGAGGAGAGGTTACCAGCTGAAACTGAGTCTTTCCTTCTGCTGTCCTTCAGGACAGTTGGAGCACAGGACACAGCAGGGATGGGGGGTCCAGCCGCCCTGGGAGGGGAGCACCAGGGAGCAGAGGCTGAGGCCAGCACGTGCCCTGGTGGAGGACCTGGGACTTCTCCCTCCCATCCCCAGCATTGCTCCTGTGGCTGCACTGGCCGGGCTTCCCCAGGGAGAACCATAGAATGGTCCTAGAGTGGTTTGGGTTGGGAGAGACCTTAAAGCTCCTCCATTCCCAACCCCTGCCCCAGGCAGGGACCCCTTCCACTGGAGCAGCTTGCTCCAAGCCCCTGTGTCCAACCTGGCCTTGAGCACTGCCAGGGATGGGGCAGCCACAGCTTCTCTGGGCACCCTGTACCAGCGCCTCAGCACCCTCACAGGGAAGAGCTTCTGCCTAAGAGCTCAGCTCAGTCTCCCCTCGGGCAGGTTCAAGCCATTCCCCTTGGCCTGTCCCTACAGGCCCTTGTCCCAAGCCCCTCTCCAGCTTTCCTGCAGCCCCTTTAGGCACTGGAGCTGCTCTAAGGTCTCCCCTTCAGGAGCCTTCTTCTTCAGGCTAACAGGTTCTCTGTCCTCACCTGCAGCCGCAGCAGTCACTGTCACCATCATTACTGTCATCGAGCTTTCTGCAGTCAAGCCATAACTGTTAAATTTTACCCTAAAATTACACTCATCTGAAACCATCCATTTCTCATGAAATTGCCATGGGAGAACCTGTTCAGGTACAACAGGGCTGAGCTGGGCACTCACCTGACACTAGACCCATCCTTAGCACTGTTGGCTTGGGGTTGTTTTGAGGTACCACAAGAGTTCAGCTGATTCTCTCCCTCCCCGTTTCTCCTGAGCCCTTGGCTGTGCCTGGGACAGAGGATGCCTCTCATCACTGTGAGGGCCCTGGGGGCTCCGAGCTTCCTTCACACTTCATTTCAACCGGGTTGTGTTGCGCTCTGTCTGTAAGCACAGCTTGTTTCTCAGCTGAGCACACTGTAAACCCTTAACCTCTTTCTTCTCTTCCATTTTCTCCTCTCTTCCCTCCCCTTTTCAGTTTCTGTTTTTGTTTTTATTCTTCTCTTTAGCTTTCATTCTTTGGTCATAGCCCTTCAGGCCAGCCGCAGAAGGTAAGCCTCGGACCACCTCCCGTCTGCCCTCTTCTTGTAAAGCTTCCCCTTGCTACTCAGGCTGCTCTGGCAGTACTGGGGGTTCTGGGTGCCCAGATAGCCCCAACATGGCAATCTCTAAAGCCTGTAGAACATGTGAAACCTGGGCCCCGCAAGCTGAAACTTGTCCAACAGAATTCCCTTCTCCAGAAGGAAGGGCAGGGAGGGATTAAAACCCAGCAGGCTGAAAAGCAAGGAAGCTTCTAGCAAAGCAGGATGAACCCCAGCCTGTGCTGACTACATCAGGGGGGTTTCCAGCTGATCCTTACTGGAATCCATGGAAATCTGCTGCCCTTCTCCCTGCATGGCTCACAGCCAGGCTGAACCTCTCGCATTGCCTTGTCCTGCTTCAGGCTGAGCTACCAGAATGCTTGGGGGCAAAATGTGTCACCTATAAATGTTTCTCCAAGCACCATGCCATAGGGCCCTAGGTTTGCCTAAATATCCCTTTTCCCCAGGTAAATAGGAGATAAATTGACAATTCATTTGTGCTTCCAGAGATGGCACCACATCATGGGTGGCGTCGAGGGGAATGTTCCCCATTAGCCATCAATGTCAACAGAAAATAACACAGACCCTTTGCTATCAGTTAGAAACATAGAATCAGAATAGTTAGGGTTGGAAAGGACCTTAAGATCATCCAGTTCCAACCCCCCTGCCTCACACTAAACCATCTCACCCAAGGCTTCGTCCAACCTGGTCTTGAACGCCACCAGGGATGGAGCATTCACAACCTCCCTGAGCAACCTATTCCAGTGCAACTATTCCATTGTACAATTCAAATGGATAATCACAGATATAGCCCTTACAGGAATTTCCTGCATGTCATTTTTAGAATCATAGAATCATAGAATAGTTAGGGTTGGAAAGGACCTTAAGATCATCAAGTTCCAACCCCCTGCCATGGGCAGGGACACCTCGCTCTAAACCATATCACCCAAGGCCTCGTCCAACCTGGCCTTGAACACTGCCAGGGATGGAGCATTCACAACCTCCCTGGACAACCCATTCCAGTGCCTCACCCAGCTCTCCTGGTCTTTGATCCATGTTTCTGTATCTTGTCTTGTTTCAGCCTGCTGAGGAGGCTACAATTACTTCTGCTGTTACTAGCAGGAAGACAGCATTGGTTACCGAGGCAGAAAGAGAGACTTTGCCACTCCAAACCCCACAAACATCTCTCCTCTTTTGCTACTGGCGGTGGGAGGTGCAGCCTCTCTGGGCCTTGCAGACTGAAGCTGCACTGGGGTACGTGGCCAGTCCTGCACAGGGCACGTCTGCCCCACTGAAACCTGAGTGAGCATCCTGAAGAGCCAGAACCACAGCGACAAAGAAAGCCAACCCCTCCGCTGGCTCTGCTGCTCGAGGAGCTCTCCGCTTTACGCAAGGAGTGCTATTCTGATTCAGATAAACTGAATTCATTTGGTTCCCTGCTGAGCAGGCAGTAAATTGCTTCTCTGGAGAAGTGACCGTGTCCTGGTTTATGTGTCATGCATTTATATTCGTTATTCAGTCAGTTCAGAGTCTGTCTTGGAAGAAGATTTTAGGAGTAACTCATGAGAAGAGAAACGCAAGTGGAAATGAAGTGTTTCATTCCAAGGTATTTCTTCATAACACAGGGTATGTCCCATGGTTTGCTGCATATCCCACCAGCCCAGTTCTAGGGAAGAACGGGAAGCTGTGTTCAGGAAATCCAGCTGTAGGATTCTGCTGTTTTCAGTAGCCCATGGCCCGCAGCACGATGAAAAATGGCACAATAAACTGCAGTGTGCTGTCCCGGAGGGATTAACAAGGTTTAACATCGTCCCAGCAAAAGGCTTGACGTGGACAAGAGTGAAGGTAAACCCCATGATCCTGACCCACACGCTCTGCGCTGGGGGAGGCAGCGAGAGGGAGCACATCACCACTGTGACACTGGGGAGCACAGGTACCACAAAGCCCCAGCCCAGGCAGCTGCTGCAGGAGCCGGGAAGGGAAATGGACCCTCTGGAAAAACAAGTGAAGGAGGGACAACCCAGAAGAAATCCCACAGTGCGATTCACCCCATGGGAACCGCGGCCGAGTGCCCAAGCCTGGGGCTGCTGGGGAAGGCCAAGGTGAAGCTCCCGTCTGCACCGTTCCCTGGATGTGCAGCAATGAAGCTCCCCAGGGCACAGGATGGTGAAGGAACTGCCCAGCCCTTGGAAGCACGAGGCAGGAAGGAAACCCAGAGCTCCCAACAGGTAGGATGGATTGATAACTGAAACCTGTGTGTTATAGGGTTATAGGCACCATGTACCTTCCTTTACATGGCTGGTAGCCTCTTGCTCAGGTTAAGATGCTTCTGATGAAGCTTTAGTCTTTATCTAAACATTTTTTATTTATCTCTGGTTTACTTCAGTAATTTAGGTGTTGAATTTCAGTATGATATAATCACAAATGCTGCTTCATGGGTTTAGACCCCTGGTCACACTTAACAAAAGGTTAGTAGGGAGGCAGTGAAATACACTGCAGGATTTATGTGAGCAGTCCTGCTGCTTTAGAAACAGGCATTTTAATGGCTTCATTTACATGGAAATACTTTTCATTTTGGATTGGAAAGGCAAACAGCATTCAGAAAAGTATTTTAATTCACAATTTCACTTCCTTCTTTTCCTAATCTATGCTGTAATGAGTTACTTGGCAGGAAAACATGGGGACAGCAGCCCTCCTGGTATGTGCAGTGCTCCCACTGGGTGGGAGTTCAGGGCACCAACTGTATGGAAGCAGAAAGGAGACTGGAACCAGTGCGTGCTCAGGACACCGAGCTGCTGCTTGGTGGGTTGTGCTGTTTTCAGCAGTTCTAGGACACTGCTTTAGGCCATTGCCTTAGTTACTTTAGTGTGTCCTCAAGTCGTATGGGAGACTGGGGGCTCCCAGGGGTAGGCAGCACCTATGTATTTCCAAATAAGTAAGGTGTCAGTTAAACTGAGAGACATTCTTCTTGATCTTTGTTTTTTTCCAGTTATCTCAGTCACATTTCAAACATTTATTATAACTCAGTGTGATAACGGCCGCATCAGGTCTGCGTGCAGAGGCCCCTTTCAACACTGACAATACCGTCATTCGAGAGAAATAACATCTGAAACATGCGACGCCCAGCTTTGCATAAGGAGAATCTGTACTTGAGGCATGAGCTTGTTCATAAGTGTACATATACAAATATGTAACGGGTGGGTGTCAGGATGATGGAGCTAGGCTTTTTTCAGTGATGTCAGTGCTAGGACAAGGGGCAATGGGTGTAAACTGGAGCATAGAAGGTTCCACGTTAACATCAGGAAGAACTTCTTCACTGTGAGAGTGACAGAGCACTGGAACAGGTTGCCCAGGGGGGTTGTGGAGTCTCCCACATTGGAGATATTCAAGGCCCGCCTGGACAAGTTCCTGTGTGATGTACTCTGGGTTACCCTGCTCTTGCAGGGGGGTTGGACCAGATGATCTCTCGAGGTCCCTTCCAACCCTTGGGATTCTGGGATTCTGTGATATACTTCAGCAGCATGTGTCTAAGCGGATATTTAGCCAAATCTAACTGAGCATTGGGAGTTTACATAAAGTCATCGTTCCCAATATCTGATCTAAATCTAATAATCCTTAAATATTCCCTCCATGAAGATGGATTGCATTGGGGTGATGATCCAGTTTGATTTGTGACTGTAAATGTTTTCTATTGGCAATAGAAAGCAGTACTATATTTACAACCTTAATTAAACCTTCAATCTTAATTAAAACACTGAAAGTATGACTATTCAAAGAAGATTACATTCCTCTTTTCAGCAACAGAAGGATGGAGACAAGCTCCTGTCAGGAGGGCTGCCGTGTTTGCCTGCTCCCATGGAACAGTATTTCCTGCTGCAGCAGCAATTGGAAATACCAATGGCAAATGTTCAGATCCTGATCTTTGGCACTGGATCACCAGTGTGAGTGCAGTGGGCAGGTGGCATTCCCCTGGCAAGTGTCCACGCAGGTCCTGTGGGTCACCCCCTTCTGCTCTCGTGCTGGGTCTGTCCACGGGGCTGTCTGCTGCAGAGAGAATTACTGTTCTTTAAATCACTTTGTGCATTGGCTCCATGATCAAATGGTTCTGTTTCACCCGATTACTTCAGTGCTCAGAAGAGGTTGGGGGTTTTTTTAGGTCAGCAGCACACTTTGCCAGAAACGATGCACAAGGGAGATGATGAGTTACTGCAGCTCAAATTTGCCTGTAAGTGCTCCATCAGCCGCCTTCTGTATATAGAGAGTCACAGAGTGGTTCAGGCAGGAAGAAACCTTAAAGCTCACCCAGCTCCAACCCCTGCCATGGGCAGGGACCCCTTCCACTGGAGCAGCTTGCTCCAAGCCCCGTGTGTCCAACCTGGCCTTGAGTATGTATACGTATATATATCTCTTCATGCATTTTGAAAGGGGTTGTAAATGCTTTTGCTCACAGCAGTATACAGAGATCAGGCTAATGAGCTACATGCTTAGAATACTAACTGGCAAGTCTGTGCTGTGCAGGGTGACCCAACACGTCTTGGTTCAAAGTGAACTGAGCAGGCGGAATTCAAGCCATGAGGATGACTCCAATTGAGGGAGCATCATTCCCGGGAGGATGTAAAGGACAGGACTCAGTGGCTGCTCATTTTCACTGCACTGTAAATCTTGTGTAATGTTGTTAATCTCCGTAAAGAGCAGAACTCGGCTCAGTGAAAATGAAGTGATTTCCAGCAGATTAGTAACTGTCAATTTATATGAAAGCATTGGGTGTCTTGCTCCCAATATTTCTCCTTTAATCTTGCAGGGGTTGGTGCAGACTGAGGTGCGTGGAACTGACAATGTCAGTCTGAATTTAGAGCTGAGCTGAGCTGGATGTCCTGGGGCGGGAAGAACAGCATCACTGGTGCTGACGGATGGCTCCAGCACAGGGAAGGTTCCAGGCATGTCTGGGGAAGCTCCTTCATTGTGGAGAGGTCTTGGGTTGTAAAGAGGCTGCTGCTTGCTGTTGGCTGAATCCCACAGGAACACACTGAGTAGATCTGCTGAGGTTTTCCTGCTTTATTACAGCAGCATCTTCTCGTCGTCCTTCCTAGGCAAGCTAAGAAAGGGCAGGTACCTGGGACAGTCCTTTCCTTTATCCTCTCTACCACAGAATAATAGAGTGATTTGGGTTTAAGGGACCTTAAAGATCATCCCGTTCCAACCCTGCTGGACACAGGACTGCAGGGGCAGGTGCAGCCCAGCACTTCCAGGCCATCAGAAACCCCAGATAAACTTCCCCCAGGAAAGGAGAACTCAGACCTGTGATTGCCTCCTGCAGATGTGTAGAGGCAGATGTAGGAGATTTTGTTCTGTCAGTGGCTTTTCTGATGAGATTGCCCCAATGGCCAGTTTCCTTCTTGTTGTAAACAAGAACACACCCGAGGGATACAGCAAATTGATGAAATGAGGATCAGAATGGCTGTCAGGGAGATACCAGCTTGTGTTAGCAGTGCTGTCACGGCCATGAAGGTAAGAGGGCTGTAAAATATTCACACATCATCAAATCAGAGCAACCTTCTCATATGAGAAGAGTGACCATAGAATCCTAAAGGCTGTAAATGTATAGTTTATCCTGTTTCTGAGGGTGTTAATTGTAGCCAAGCTGCCTAAAACCTGCTGGGGAAGGTCAGTAGGCAGGAGCGGGGTGTTTCAGCTGGATCAGGCAGCAGCATCAGCCTGCAGGAGCCAGGGCTCCTCATCAGGGCTGTGATGGAGGCTGACGTCTGGCCCTGACCGCTCGCCCTTGGCTGCCTTTCCCCCCGGAGCAGCCGGAGCCACGGTCTGGGTGTCAGCCTGTGTTTTCCACATTAGATCCGCATTTACAGCTTGACTGGATGCCCCCAGCTTGGAAACCCTCCCCTTTAAATGTCCTGTGAGAGTGCTGCAGCTGATCCCTATCTGAGACCTGGAGATCCGTAACAAGAAACGATGCTTGTGAGCAGCCAGGTTCTGGACAGATTGCAATGGGTTTATTATCTTCCTGTCTTTCAGAGCTGTGTCCGTTATTCACAGAACCCCAGCCTGGTTTGGGTTGGAAGGGACCTTAAAGCTCCTCCAGCTCCAACCCCTGCCACGGGCAGGGACCTCTTCCACTGGAGCAGCTTGCTCCAAGCCCCTGTGTCCAACCTGGCCTTGAGCACTGCCAGGGATGGGGCAGCCACAGCTTCTCTGGGCACCCTGTGCCAGCGCCTCAGCACCCTCCCAGGGAAGAGCTTGTGCCTAGGAGATGTGGGTTACCGGTGGATGATGTGCTGGCTGCGGAGGTAGTCGAGGGCCAGCGCCATCTCACAGATGTACAGCTTGACCGTGTCCTCGGTGAACTGCACGTTCTGCTGCAGGTGGTAGCGCAGGTCACCGCCGAGGAGCAGGTCCACCACCATGAACATGTCCTCCTCGTCCTGTGTCCAGCCTGGCTTTGTCTGCAGTTGCAGGAGTCCCCAGATACAGCCCCTGGAGATGCTCTCAGTTAAAGGCTCTGTTTCCCAATGGAAATCTTCAGCCCTGCCAGCTCCAACAGCATCAGGGACTCAGCCATAAACACAGTGCTCTACGTTACACATAGATCTCTGTGAGGGTCATGTGCTGATAAAGCTTTTAAATCCTCACTATTGAAGATACAGAAGACAAATACTTTAAATTCTTTCACTGGAAAGCAAATTGCTGCTATTTATCATTTCTGGGTATGTAACCAATAGTGACATCTCGTATCTATAACACCACGTACACATATTTTATAGCTATCACACCATGTTTTCTAACACCATAATGACTGCCTTCTTATAGGTTTGTCTTTTTATAAACCATTCTAATGTCATTTACCAACTACATGTAAATCTATTGCAAATTCACTCATAAGCGTTCTTTACCCAAGTGAAATACCCCCATAATTAGGGGGTGAGAGCAGCAATTACAGACAACGAGGTTTCTAAAGGGCGAAACAAGCAGTGCAGAATCAGCCAGTGTTCTAAAAGCAGTGCCTGATTAATACAGATAAATTTAACCTGATCTGGTGGGAGTACAAGAGCCAAGGCCGAGCTGCCACGTGCTGCTCTTCAGATGGGAAGGGGGCTGTCAAATAGCTTTAATTATAAGTCTTCTTGTCATTCTCTGTTACACACTGCTTTGGAATCCAGCCTGACAGGAAAATGCTATAGACTTCTATTAATGTATATATATGTGTGTGTGTGTGTGTGTGGAGAATGAATAGTATCCAGATTATTCCCAAAAGACTTTATTCCAAATAATTAATTTGTAGTGGAATTAGCCTTTTAAAATGCTGCTGTTAAGCATCAAAGGATCAGCTCTATTGAGCTCTGTAGCAGAAGATGATGGTGGATCTATGTCAAGCTCCTCCTATGGTCATTAAGAGGGGATGAGAAAGGGGGAATGGCTTGAACCTGCCCGAGGGGAGACTGAGCTGAGCTCTTAGGCAGAAGCTCTTCCCTGTGAGGGTGCTGAGGCGCTGGCACAGGGTGCCCAGAGAAGCTGTGGCTGCCCCATCCCTGGCAGTGCTCAAGGCCAGGTTGGACACAGGGGCTTGGAGCAAGCTGCTCCAGTGGAAGGGGTCCCTGCCCGTGGCAGGGGTTGGGACTGGGTGAGCTTTGAGTTCCCTTCAACACAAACCAGGCTGGGATTCTATAAGTGGGCCATAAATTTACCCATGCTTGTGGATCTAGTGGGAGAGGAGGGGAAGATCCAGAGGAGGCCAAGCCTGGCCCATTTTCCTCAACATGAATATGGAATTCCAGCCCTCCATTCCCAGCGGGCAGGCAGTGAAGCACAGGTCACCTCCTGGTAACATTCACCACACTGTTAGGGCGCTCAAGCAAGTATTATTTCCCATTTTCAGTCAGTTTAAACTTGCCCCCATGCTTCAACTGATTCTTAACCCTGCTTACCGTATGCAGGGAAAGCTGCTGTGGGTATTCATGTAGCAGGTGCGCTGCCTTTGTGGTTGGTTTAGTCGCTTCTTTGTTGTTCCCTGGACATTCCTTAGGTTCTTCCCAATAATTATAAGAGATGCACACCCAGGTTTCCCTCTGGGCCATATGGTAACTCATGCTGCTGTCACAGGTCAGTGCTGGCCATGAGGCAGATGGTCCACGGCTGAGCATCACCGGGATGGCCTCATTCAATCCCATCCTCACTCTATACTGGGGGCACGCGACTGGCGCAGGCACAGGGAATGGGATTTACAGCTCAGGTGGTGGATTTAAACACAGGCCCAGCAAATCTCCCTAGTACCAGTTAGAAATAAGGAAACAGATACAGAAATAGATAGACAGAGAGATAGAGATAGATAGGGATATATATATCCTTTCATTGCAGCCTTGGCAAGAGTCTGTGCATATAATAACAGGCAGCTAATGGAGGAAATAATTCCTTCTCCCTATGAAATGTTAATCATAATCTTTGATGAATTGCATCTCCAGACTGCTGTCTTGCAGTGAAGCTGCAGTTTTCCCCAGCAGTGAATGCTCAGCATATTCCAGCTCCATCCATTACCATTTTCAATGCTGCTTTTGTCCCATTTTTCCAGCTTTCTGAAACAAAATGAATCTCTCCAACAGCTGCTGGCGTGGTGAGAGGATAACTGTGCTCCTGTTAAATTAACCAGCTTCAGCCCTGCGGGCAGTGCCGGGCAGCACTGAAGTGATGTGCAGTGGCAGTGGATGTGACCTGCACTGAACGTGCAGCACCATGCTTTGTCTCTGTGCAAACTCGTGGTGACTCCTCACCCTGCCCGCTGCTGCCTTCTTGGTGAAGTGGCACCTTTAACATCCACTGTGATTCACTCTCCATCCCTCCAAGCTCAGTGTCTTTTTAGGAATTGCCTATTAATATTCTGGAGGTTTTGTTTTCCCCATGTGAGCAGCGTGATCCCTGGCTCAAGGATGCTGGGGAAGGGAAAGAAGAGCTGCAGGAGCCATGGGCTGGGCAGTGGAAGGGCTGGAGAGGGGTAATTCATCCCTGCACAGTGCAGGGGGCTGAGCTGGGGAAGGGGGTCCATGAGCTGTGGGTGAGGTTTGAGGAGAAGGGATAGGGAATGGGGGTCTCTCCCTTCCTAGTCATCGGCTGAACTATTCTGCTTTCCCTGTATTTGCCCTAAAAGTTCCCCTTCCCTCCAGTGCTGGTCTTGTAGCAAAGTGGGAGACAGAAAACAATGGAGAATGGCCCAAGTACAGAGCACACAGAGCACAGGAGGGGACAGAGCAGCCTGAAGGAAGATACCCTTTCCACCCTTTCTACCCCATCCATCCTTTCCACCACTTCCACCCAAGTGCAGGACATCCTCCCATGCTGCCTCTCTCTCCTCAGTGAGGAGGCGGGATCTGGCTCCATGGGTTATAAACTTGTTCTCTCCACAGCACAGCTCCTTCCTCTGTCTGTTACACCGAGGCTGGTCATCAGGGTCAGCTATCCCTTTCACTGCAATGGCAGAATGAGCCGTGCCCCTCCTGGTAAATGATAACCAGCAAACACATCATCTGATTGCTGTTTGCTGGCCACAGTGCAGAGGTGGCCATGTCTCAGCATGTTGCAAGTCACTCCTTGTGCCCTCACTCTCTTTTGGGGTCATCCACTTCAGTCGGTAATACCCATATCCTGGGAATCCTCCTGCACCTGTGGATGCTCCGAAGGGGAACCTGCGAGTGATGCTCAGGAAAGACACCTCAGAATCTGCATGAAGATGGATGGGGCACGTTTTAAATTCCATAGAACCATGGAATCCCAGACTGGTTTGGGTTGGAAGGGACCTTGAAGCTCCTCTAGTTCCAACCCCTGCCATGGGCAGGGACACCTTCCAATAGGGACATCGGGGGGGGTTCTGGGCTCAAGCACACACTGAAGCCGGGTCATGGGGAGCTTCTCCTCACCCAGCACCCCAAGCCCCTCTCCTCAGGCTGCTCCATCCAGTCTCCCCCAGCCTGTGTTTGTGCTGGGATTGCCCAGACAAGGGGCAGGACCTTGCACTTGGCCTGGGTGAACTCCCTGATGTCCATTACCATCACAATGGCCTGAGTGTTACATGAATACTCTTAGGGGAGCGCTGCTTCGGAAGGAATAATGCTATAATGTATGGGGCAGCCTATAGTAAATATGCATTTAACATTCAATAAATCATCTATTTCTTTTCAGGGAAACCCCAGCAGCTGGTAAGTCTACTGCAGCTGTAGGCTTAGCTGAGAGCTGCCTCACACACAGCAACCCCATGGAATGGATACTCAGCACTGGGACTAAAACCCACATGTTACAGAGCTGAAGTTAACCCTTGTGTTTCTTTCTCCTGTAGGTGCCTGCACCCCTCCCAAACCTTGTGTTGAGTTTACACAGCTATGAAGAAAGTCCCTGGATATTGAAATTCCACAGACTCTCCAGGCCTTGTACATCCATCATCTGTTTCGAAGCGGACCCTGTGGAGAGCTGAGGGAGCTGAACTACAGACACGTAAGAAAATGAGGTGCTCAGAGGAGCGACCTGTTCGTACCGAAGCATTACAGCATTTTAAGGCAAAGGTGATGGATTTTGATACTGGTACCTGGCTGCTTTATAAAGGTGATTTAACAGATTCCAATTCTATCGGATATAAATACCAGTATTGGGATTATGTGATGAGCTGCAGTTTCACTTCTGCATCTCATGCTTAAAATGTGTGTATTTGGGGTTCTACTTAAGTACTTAATGTCTTCAAATACTTCATTGGAAGACCTGCAGACAGCAGCTGAGGGAACCCCTGCAGGCTCAGGCATCACTGTCCTCTCACTGGGAATCCAGAGGAAAGCTCTGGGTCGGCATCCGTCAGCCCCAGAGAGCTCAGGATGGGAGCTGCTGCAGGCAGATGGAGGGATGGGGATGGGGAACAGGGGGAGCGAGGGGGGTTGGAAGTGGCTTGGAGCCATTTCATTCCCCTTCACCCAGACCATGCTGTCACACATTGTGTATGGGCATCTAGGAGTTCCCTTCCATTCTCCCATAGTTACTTTCTTAACCATGCTTTTTTGGATTAAAAAGCTATCTGCACAGGACGTGTAAATAAGGGATTGTGCTTGTGTATATGTTCATATTTATATGTAAAAAATTGTGTACATAGGAAAGAAAAGAAGAGGCTCAAAGAATGTTTCCAAAACTGTTCCTTACAAAGGCAGAGACAGGAAATGTGCATAAACGTGCTCCTTAATTTCAGCATAGGGGTTTTGCTCTGTTTTCAGTCACTCTGCATTTGCTCCCACTGGGCTTTTGTAGGATGAGTCTGTACAATGAGACTGTGACCGTGGCTGGAGCTGCTCTGCAGACGGGGCCACCCTTGGCCCCTGGGATGAGCTGTGGCTGTGTCACATTTCATTTGTGTTTTCTTGCACTGGGTCTTGTGCGTCTTTCACAGACCGAGGTCCCAGAGCCACAGCACCAGAGGTGGATGCTTACCTGATGTGGGGCTCTTTCCTGCAGCCCCCCATCCCTCGGTGCAGGTAAACAGCGGGGAGAGGAGGGGTGTGCAGCCACTCTCAGGCCATCAAGGAGGCAGCAGCAAGTCCAGAGCTACCAACTGCTCCAGTTGTCCCCATAAGCATCTTTGCAAGCTCTCCAGTGCCCTTCAGAGCAACAAGACAGAGGACAGGTAAAGCAAGCGCATCCTGGGGCATCACTGGCACAGCACCACTGCTCCACTTCCCCTCAGGACTGTGAGGAAGGAGCGTGTCCGTGACCAGCCCAGGCCCACAGAGCTGCTGGAGGAGCAGGGATGCAGGAGGGCATGTGCTGCCCGGTCCCGCAGGCAAGCTATGGACCGACACCCACTGGGACCACAGCACGTGGTTCAGGCCTGTTCCTACTCAAGCTGTCGGAGGACTGTGGCATCACTTCAAGCCCCCTGCTCCAGTGCTATCTGTAGCCTTCAGTGTATCCCCGAGTGCCTTACACAGCTTGTGAACACAGCTCCTGACCTGAAGGGGAAATGCACCGGGGGGCCCGGTGCTGGCTCCCACCACATCCCCAGTGCTGCTGCTGTGGGGACCGGTTCGGTTTAGCCTCAGGAAACCGCGTTGTGAGTAAGTGTTGAACCCTGCATCTCTGATCGTTCTTTAGAGACAGGAACTGTCCTAAACTTATGCAAATTGTAAACCAGAGAAAACATCCCCCCCCCCTGCCCCCCGCCAGGCCGGCTGCCGGGCTCCTGCTCCCCAACAGACCCAACAGCCGTGTTAACACCCACTGACGGTTGGACCCCATGATCTTAAAGGTCTTTTCCAACCCGGTTGATTCTGTACCCCAAGTACGTGGTGTGTGCTCAGTGCTGAGGCAGCTGACAGGGCTGGAGCGATCGATTACAGAATTTTACACATATTTTTGTATCGTGATTCATATGATATATATCGAGAGACTTTCTATTCATTTGTAAAATACATAAATTATTGTAAACTTTTAATAAAAAGAGCTGTTTTAAACCTTCAGGTTGGATGAATTGTTTATTTCTTCGGTTGCCAGCAGGAGCCCTTTGGTTGGTTGCAGTCACTTTGCTGATGGCTTTTTATAACACTGCCAGTTTTTAACCATTTCTTAGGTTTTACCTTAAAGACTGAGACAGGAATAAACGCGTCCCTGCGGAGCGATGGGACCCGCCTCCCGCCAAGCCCGGTGCTCACTCATCCCACTCCATCAGCGCTGGATCGCGGGTGGGTTGAAGCCGTCTGGAGCTGACCCAGGGGACGGAGGGGCCGGGCGGGCTGCGGCGGGGACTCCCGCGGACCCCCCTGACTGCGGGGACCTCTCCCGAGGAGCCCCCTAGAGGCTCCCCCTCCCCCCTCGCACCCTGGAATTCCGCCTCCCGTTCCCGGGACACCCCCCTCGAAGACCCCTTCCCAGGGGCCTCCCTTCATTCCCGGGGATCCCTCCTTGTCCCTGGGGACCCCCCCCCCGGCTCTCCCGGGAGTTCCCCCTCGGGATTTCCCCCTTACACTAGGACCCCCCCCCCGTTGGCGCTGTCTCTGCCACCACGCGTGGTGGGCACTGCCGAGCGGGGCGGGGGCCGGGCTCGGTCCCGGGCTGCTTTAAACGCTCTTTGCTCCCTCCCCAGGCTGCAGCAGCGGCACCGGCTCCGTTCCCGCTCCCGTTGCCGGTCCCGCCGCAGCCATGCCGGGCCGGGAGGCAGCGCTCCCCGCCTGCTTCGCGGGGCTGGGCACGGGCAGCCCGCGCCCGCGGCAGAAGCGCGGGGGGATGTTCTGCAGCGTGGAGGACGCCTTCGACAACAAGACTCTGGACTTCGCCTCGCTCGGTGCCTCCGGACCCGGGACACCCTCGGCCAGGACCCGCCGCGACCTCGACCCCGGCCCCGGCCCCGGCCCCGCCGCGCCGGCCCCGGCGGAGCTGCCCGCCCGCTGCCCGCAGGTAAGGGAGGGACGCGCCGGTCCCGGAGCCCCGCGGGGAGCAGCCGCCTTCGCCCCTTCTCCGCTCGGCGGGGCCGCAGCCGCCCTGTCCCAGACCCCTCCGGAGGGTGCGCAGCGGCCGCGTCCCGTCCAACCTCAGCCCGCGCCCGGTGAACGGACCGGGCCGGGGAGCGGTTTCCTGCAGGGGAGGGTCCGGGGGCCCCCACTTCTCCGTCGGGGAGCACAGGGTTCACCGGCCCCCGCGGGACCGGCTCCGCTCCGCCCCGCGCCCTTCCCCGACGGCGGCTTTGTCTGTGCGCCGGGAGCGCGGCCCCGGGACGGCGGCGGGGGGCGCGCACGCACGCGGGGCCGTGCATACACGCGGTCACAAACACACGCTCGCACCGCACACAAACAGCAGCACGCACCGGGAGGATGGCGCAGCAGGGCAAGAAGAGCGTTCCCCGCGGCACGGTGAGGGGCTCCCTGGCGTGGGGTGCGGGTTGAGAGGGGGCGGGATCCCGGGGGCTGCGGGTCCCGGTGCCGCTCCCGCTCCCGCTCCGGTGGGTCCTGGGGCCCGAGTCGCTCCCGGCCGGAGGTTATGGAGCAGGGCAGTTCCCCCCGCCCGTGGGGCCGGACACGCGGGGAGCTCTGCGGGGGGGTCGGGAGTTTCTCGGGCTCGCCCGCGGTCGGGGCAGCCCCGCGGGCCCCGTCGCTCCCTTCACCGGCCGCGGCCCGGTCGGAGCTCGGCGGCTCCGGTGCTTTGTCCGCTGCTGGCGGGGCCGCCCCGCGGGGACAAAGGCAGGCGCGACCCTCACCGTGGCTGCGGGGCTGCCCCGCCGCTTCCCTGCGTCCCGTTCGGGAGCTGGGGTGGGAAACGTGTTTCGGAGAGACTCTTCTGCGGAGCGGGCTGCGGGGTTCGCACACGACATCTCCCTGCCTTGTCCCTTGCCTTGCTCCCTGCCCGGCGGCCGGTCGGATCCCAGCCCGGTCCGTACGGTCACGGCGCCCGCCCTGGCGCCGGTTCCGCTCAGCAGGAGCAGGGGAGAATCCCTGGCCAGCCCTGCTCGTGTTCATTCAGTATTTCATCCTCCCGTTGTGCTGCCTCGGGGCTGAGTTCCCTGAAAACATCCCGCGGCGGCCACGAGCGCGTTAATGGGTGACCGCGTTAGACAGAGTGAGGGGGGAGGATGGGGGTGAGAATGAGGGTGAGGATGAGGATGGTGAAGGGGTGAGGATAAGGATGGGGATGAGAAGAGTGTGAAGATGAGGGGAGGGGCCGTCGGGCTCTCCCGCGGGGCAGCCAACACTGAGGCTTCTGTGATTGATTTTACAGGACAAGGGGAAACAATAAAGGTGCAATAAAGATGCCACGTGCTCCTGCATCCCTCCTGTCTCTGTGCTGGGGCCCTGCTCTTTGTGTTGCTTGCTGTAGCCTGGGCAATAGTTTTTCAGCAGCACCAGTGAGCAGGAGATGAATCCTCATCTGTCAGGCTGCAGTTCCACATCTGCATCACTGCCTGTGCTTTCTGGTTAAGGATTCTGCAGATCTGACAACTGTACCGGAGGCTTGCTTTGAAGTAGGGAAGTCCTGGAGGCATTTTCTGCCTCTGAGGAGACTGTGAGAACTGATGGGTGCAAATAAACTACCGGGTTAATAAGATGCACTTGAAAGTCTGTAACTGGAGCAGGTTGAGGAGGTGCGTGCCTGACTGAGCTGAACCTCCAGCTTGCATGATTGAAGGGTTAAATACCAAGTCTGAGGGTTAATGAAAGCTCAGAATGAGTAAAGTGGCATCTAAATAAAGTGATCTCTAAAAACTGTGGGTTTCTTCCCTTTAGAGTGACCAACTTCTGATCAAAGGAGGAAAAATTGTCAACGATGATCAGTCATTTTATGCTGACATCTATGTGGAAGATGGCTTAATAAAGTAAGTTAAAAATTCATATTGGGTAATGTAATTTCTAAGTGTGGTGCAGTGCCGGGGTATCTGAGAGAGGTTCTTTTCTGTCCCTTTCCTCTTGGAAATATGTTCCCTTTTTGAAACACAAGGACAGCTTCCAATAGATGGGGCTTGGAGCAAGCTGCTCTAGTGGAAGGTGTCCCTGCCCGTGGCAGGGGTTGGAACTGGGTGAACTTTAAGGTCCCTCCCAACCCACACCATTCTGTTGTTGCAAGTTAACAGGAGATTTTAATGCCGTTTTCAGACAGATTGGGGAAAACCTGATGGTTCCTGGTGATGTGAAGACCATCGATGCCTATGGCCAGCTGGTGCTGCCGGGGGGGATAGACGTGCACACCCGGCTGCAGACACCCGTCATGGGGCTCACCCCTGCCGATGACTTCTACCAAGGGACGCGAGCGGCCCTGGCAGGAGGCACCACGATGATCAGTAAGATGCAGCAGCATCCCAGCCAAGTAGAATGTGGTTTGGTGAAATACCTTGGGCCTTTATCCCTGTGGAGAGGATTTACCCTCATAGAAATGTTCATTTTTGCTGTAGAAATGAAAGTGCTGCAGAGCCAATTAAAATGCCTTGAGTACCTTTCAGCACCTCCTTCCATTGCTACACACATGCATTAATCACAGACTCACAGGCTTGCTTGGGTTGGAAAGGATATTAAAAAGCATCCAGGTCCAGCTCTGTGCCGTATACAGCTGCTCCTGCTTCAGCTCATAAGAGAATAAGATGGAATAAAACCTTAAAGGCCCTTTAATACATTTTTAATAGCTTTAGAATTGTGTTTTTGTAAGTTTCTCATCTCTGTGAGCATGGGTTCCATCTTTATGTTAATGTAAAATACTTCTGATTTCTGTTTTGCTCATGTTCTGGTCCCAAGGCCCACTGTAGTAACTGTCTCAGCAAATCCTGATGACAGGTCCATGCCCATCTCATGGCCAGTACTGCAGGGAATAGGAGCAACAGACAAGAGAAGGGCAGTAACTGATGGGCTCTGGGTGACTGCACATGGGAGCTGCCCATGTACATTGGTGTGCAAGGACACGCTGTGGTCACTGGCTGCTCTCGAATGCTGTGCTGGGCGGGCTCTGTAAGCAACAGGCACAATAATGCCCATAACTCGGTGGTGGTTCGCTCCACTTGTTTCACTTACCCGGGAAATGGATCATCCTTCATCTTCAGCCCATGCACCAGTGCACAGTGCCTCCTTCCACACACCCTGCCCCAGCGCAACGGTGCTGCTGGTGCCCGGGCTGTGTCCCTGGCCCCACTAACGCTGTGCAGTGTCTCCCCAGTTGACCACGTCTGCCCGGACGCTGGGACCGGCCTCGTGGCTGCCTACGAGCGGTGGCGCGGGAGCGCGGGGAGCCAGGCCTGCTGCGACTACTCGGTGCACATGGACATCCCGCGCTGGCACGAGAGCCTGCGCGAGGAGCTGGAGGCGCTCGTGAAGGACAAGGGTGAGTGAGGATCACAGAACCCCAGCCTGCGGTGGGGGGGAAGGGACCCTAAAGCTCACCCAGCCCCAACCCCTGCCGCGGGCAGGGACCCTTCCACTGGAGCAGCTTGCTCCAAGCCCCATGTATTGAAATAGGAATGTTCAAGACAGGGCTTGTAGAGCAAACCTAAGCTGTAGGCTTTCCGCAGAGATTTCCTTTGTAATTCCTGCACATCCCGATGTCCCTGCTGGACAAGCCTTACTGGAAGGCAGGCCATGGGGCAGGAATTCATGCATTTCATTAATACTTCCTTGCTTGGACCTACATTTGCTTTCAGCTATGATTCTATGCCAGTGCAGAGCTAAATGACTTCAGTATAATTCGCAGGCAAGGGCTTCATTGGTCAGTTAACATAGAGATCCACAGTGAATTTCCCATTAAAAGGAGTGGCTGAAGTCATGGAGCTGCTCCAAGCATATGCCGGGTATTTTTCATGTGTACATTCATGTGAAATACATACAGCTTATTTGTAATCTGACTGTCATTTGGGACTAGTTGTTGCCTCTCTCCATATAAAGTACAGTAGCAACTCCGTAGCTTTGGCTCAGTGCTTCCTGGATCATCCTTATGTTAGGAGTGATAGAATCAGATTGCCAGGCACTATGCAAAGTACTGCCCAGCTGTTTCTGTAGCTAAATAGAAGGGCACTAAATGTCAGTGCTCTAATGTTAGTCTCGTGCTGCAGTTTAGCTTTAGCACTAATGCACTGATTCTAAGGCAGTTACTGGAAAGAGGTTGAGGGTAAACCACAAATTGAAGCCACCACATTGTGACTGGGAGCAATGCGTTTGGTTCTGTGCATTCAGAGCGGCTCAGGGAAGGCACCTAGAACCAGAAATGGGCTGGGGGCTTCTGGCTGTTGGTTCAGGTGCATCCAGAGGTTGGGGTGTGTTGTCTGTTGGGGCCTCCAGGCTTTGGGGGTCAGTTCTTGGGGGGACATTTCCCATTCCAGCCCTTACCTGTGCTTTGCTTTGGGTCTAACCCGAGCCAGCACGAGCCCCGAGTTTGAACTTGGCCAGTATGGGGTTCTGTGTTCTCAGCTGGGACAATAAATACAATAATAACCCAATAAATGCCCTTTTCTTCTCTGCAGGTGTGAACTCCTTCCTGGTGTTTATGGCCTACAAAGACAAACTTCAGTGCACCGATGCCCAGGTAACGCAGCCGGCGCCTGGTGAACGTCCCCCCTCACACCCAGAGCATACGCACGGATGGGGCTGGCGCTGGGTAACCCCTGTCTCTTGGCAGATGTACGAGATATTCTGCATTATCCGGGACCTGGGGGCCATTGCCCAAGTGCACGCTGAAAACGGAGACATCATCGATGAGGTACAGGCTTCAGATTGCTTTACATGAGAGGAGTATTTGATCTAAGAGCATCTGATCTAAGGCAGTGTGCTGATGCGAGCAGATGGGCTGTGGTGCCTGGGGGCACTGGAGCAGTGCTGCCTTGCTTTTAGCCTTCAGTTGGTGCTGGTAATTCCATAGGGATCACTCCAGGTGAGGGGAGCAGCAGCCTGCTGTGACCCTGGGATGTCACCCGTGGTGGCAGGATCGGGGCTCCTGCTAAAACCAGCGGCACCTTCCCTGCTCCTCACACCCACTTGGGTTTCAGCACAGAAATCCTTACAAGGGCTGTTCAGGGGTTCCAAGAAGTGTGTTTGGGGGCTTCTGAAAGGATGACTGAGTGCGTGAGTGATGCCTAGCACGGTATCTGTCTTGGTTGGAAGAGCGGAGTACTTGAGAGAGTGAGGAGTAATGTGCATTGCACGTGGCAATACTTATCTCCACAGATGGCACTCAGGAACTCCCTTGGTACTGGGGCTTTGTCCATATTCGTTCTTTTCCTTTTCACCTTTAGAAAAGAATTGAATGACACAAGGAAGAATTGGACCTTTTCGCTTATGGTCATGCAAACGTTCACTCTGGTGTGGGAGGAGAGTTTAAAATGGAGGCAGAATCCCAATCCTTCAAATGGGCTTATTGGAACAAACAGGATAGAGGCTAATTCCCACCTCCCTGGGGTTTTACCTGAGAAACCTTCTTTTCAGCTGGCTATCAAACACAACATGATCCCAAGCAGTTCAGGGTCTCCAGAAGTATTTCCTTAAGTTGCCAGTGTGATAATGCTTGAGCCCTGGGGACAAACTCAGAGGATATTCCATGCTTCTATGGTATGATATCTGCAACAGGAATACAGAGAACTAAACAGCCTCTGAGAGCAGGATCCTTGAGAGATCTGGTCCATAGTGTTGAGTAACATCCTTGCCTCTAATGCTAGCTAAGTGGGAGCACTGCATGACACAGAACATGACAGAAAGGAGTAGGGATGAGGAGTGTGTTGGACATCTGCTTTTGAACACCATGTGGATGATGTGGGTGCAGCCTGGAGTTCATTGCAGGGTCTGTCACCAGGAGGGGAATGTGTGTGGCCACAGCTGCATGGGTTCAGCCGGCGAGGCTCTGGATAGGTGGCACTTGCTGTGCCTCGCTGATGGTCTCATGTACCGGGCACCCATCCCTGCGTCCTCCCTGGGCTCCTCCAAGCAGCCTTAGGTGCAGGGAAACACTGATTCCTTCCCTGTAGCCATGCATCCCCCCTGCACAGCCTCAGAGTAAGCAGCTCGGGGTTTACCGTCCTCTTCCTCCGGAGCTGTAGCTGGGTTTGTGGAGCGGGGAAGGTCTGAAGGTGCTGTTGGGACACAGCAGTTCCCAGCACAGAGATGCTCCCATAGGAAGCAGCTGCAGCAGTTTGTGGAGTGCCACAGGTACAAACGGTACCAGCTCCTCTAGCCGTGACCCCCATCACCCTTCAGGTGCTCCCGAGCACGGTGCTCTCTGCCCCGCACTGCTTCAGCCGGGCTCTTCCTGTCCCTCACTGCTCTCCCGTTCACCTTCCTCCACCAGGAGCAGAAGAGGCTGCTGGAACTGGGGATCACGGGGCCGGAAGGGCACGTCCTCAGCCGCCCCGAGGAGGTAACGCCCCAGCCCTGCAGCAGCCCAGCCCCACGGTTTGCCCTTTGGTACCAGACCTCCCTGGGCTCTGTGTCCGCAGGTGGAAGCGGAGGCAGTGTACCGGGCCATTACCATCGCCAAACAGGCCAACTGCCCCTTGTACGTCACCAAAGTCATGAGCAAAGGGGCAGCGGATGTCTTGGCTCAAGCAAAGAGGAAAGGTAAGGCACTATTTCATATCAGGGAGCTGGAACTGGATGGCCTTTGAGCTCCCTTCCAACCCAAGCAGTCTGTGAGTCTGTCTGCACACTAACTGGGCCTCTTTAAATAGGTCCAGGGATACCGGTCTGGCTGCAAGGTTTGAGAACTCGTTATCACCCAAGCTCTCTCACTCTGTAAGGGCGCTAGAAGTTGGTGTTGGTTTTCCTTTAGAGTGTGCCAGAGTGAATTGCTGTGGGCTGCAGAGGTGTGAGGAGAGGTGCTGGAAGCTCTGACACCCCCATCTCTATAGGCACAGCTGAAAAAGGGAAATAATTCACTTACATTCATCTGCCATGAACTGAACGAAAAATGCATCTGGAGCAAGCTCCAAATTGAGGCTGGGGGTGGAGTGGGAAGAGCGGGAAGCAATCCTGCAGGGAGCAAGGCAGTGCCCAGGGACAGGAGGGGGAGCACAGCCATCCCTACCCACAGGGATGCTGCTTTGATTTAAAGGAGGCTCAATGCTTTGTAGGCTTCAATGAGTGCTTGGTCTAAGGAGCAAACATTCGGATTCAAAACATGTTTTGACAGCGTGTCCCAGTTAGCTGAGATAATCTAGAGGATTAAGGTGAATTTAAAAAGCTGCAGCACTGGGAACACTGAAGATCAGTGAAACGTCTTGTGTTGTTAACCCAGTGTCTGTGCTGTGTGCAAAGAGGCTGCAGGGCACGATGTGCCATCCCTGGGGACATTCAAGGTCAGACTGGATGGGGTTCTGGGCAAGCTGCTCTAGTGGAAAGTGTCCCTGCCCATGGCAGGGAGTCAGAACTGAATGAGCTTTAAGGTCCCTTCAACCCAAGTCTGGGATTCCATGGCACACAGCGTGTGTGCATCATGAACTGCTGCTCTGCAGGCACGGTTGTCTATGGAGAGCCCATCACCGCCAGCCTGGGCACCGACGGCTCACACTACTGGAGTAAAAACTGGGCCAAAGCCGCAGCCTTTGTCACGTCTCCCCCCATCAGCCCTGACCCCAGCACACCGGAGCATCTCTCCTCACTCCTGTCCTGGTGAGTTCCGTGTCGGTGAGGGTGCCTGAGGACATGTGCAGGGTTCAAGGCCAGGCTGGACAGGGCTTGGAGAGGCCTGGTCTAGTGGGAGGTGTCCCTGCCTGTGGCAGGGGTTGGAATGGATGCTGGCAGGGTTAGTGCTTTGGGCACCTCCTCTGACCTCCTCCACTGTGCTTTGCCTAGCGGGGACCTGCAGGTGGCCGGCAGCGCTCACTGCACCTTCAGCACTGCGCAGAAGGCTGTGGGGAAGGACAACTTCACCCTCATCCCCGAGGGCACCAACGGCGTCGAGGAGCGGATGTCCATCATCTGGGAGAAGTGTGTGGTAGGTACCGAGGCAAGGCTGGCTCCTGGAAGGCTGTGGACGGGGTGCACGTGAGCCGTGCTGTGCCAGGTGATGCTGTGTCCTCATTAAATCAGAGCAGCCAGGAGGTGGGACACTGTCTAGACTGGCACTGCAGAGGAGCTCGCTAATGAGAGAAGATGTGATACTCGAACGCCTTCAGTGTCTTCAAAGGCTTCGGTGCGCATCACCCCCCTGCTCTCGCTCGCAGTCACAAGGGAAGGTCTCTCCAGCACATTCTCTAAGGGCAAGATGCAATGTTCCTCTGCCTGGGGCTTGCAGGAGGCCTGGGGAGGACAATGGGGATGCGGTGCCTCTCCCTTGGTGGCCATGGCCCCACTGGTGGGGACAGGCTCTGGTGGCACCTCCGTGTCTGCTGGGCAATGGAGCAGATCTGTGGTACATCAGTGTCTGGCTGCTGGGATCAGGTCCTGTGTCCCTGTACACTGATGCACCCTGCCCTCCCGAGAAGCATTACCAGGAGGCTCTGGCTGTATGCATGCAGGAATTCTAGGAGCTTCAGAACCAGTCCACCCCAAACCCTCCATCTTAGGTAGGCTTTGTTCAAAGACAAATAGAGTTTATCTTAGGATAATAAATAAAGAGGATAAATAGCACTGTTCAGGCTCGCTTTCAGTCTTTCTTCACTGAAATATCCTTAAGCATCTCTAGTGCAGGTGAGATCCCTGTACAGGCAGCTGGAGCCCACCAGGAAGGTCTTGTTTTTCAGAGTCCGTGGAAAATAAACCCCATCTATGGAATGATTTAGCCCCCAGGGACAAGGCTCAGCCCTTTCCCTTGTGATTGCAGCCCTGTTGCAGTGAGCACCCTTGCACCTCATGGACATGCGGCTGGATCTTGCGATCTCATCTCCTGGAGCCCCATTCCTCGTGGTGGGAGAGCGCAGGTCCAGGCACAGTGATGGTTCCTCCCTTCTCCTCCCCAGGTCTCGGGGAAGATGGACGAGAACGGGTTTGTAGCGGTGACCAGTACCAATGCTGCCAAGATCTTCAACTGCTACCCCCGGAAGGGGCGCATCGCCCTGGGCGCTGACGCGGACTTGGTGCTGTGGAACCCCAAGGCCACGAGGATCATCTCAGCAAAAACCCACAACCTGGTGACACGTTTTAAACAGCACTTGCTGAGCTGGTTTCAGGGGCAGAACTGAGCAGTGCAGCAGTGTATTGCTTCAGGTCAGGGATCACAGAACCATGGAACAGTTTGGGTTGGAAGGGAAGGCTCCAACTATAAAGGGTTTACCCGGTACAGTACCCAAAGGGTATTTCAACTTGCTTGTGTTTGTACAAGTGAATGCAAGGCTTTTCACACCTTGAACAGCTCCCCACTTGCTGAGTGGTCTGATCTTCCTGACTGCTTCCCTGGGAGGGTGCTGAGGCCTGGCACAGGGTGCCCAGAGAAGCTGTGGCTGCCCCATCCCTGGCAGTGCTCAAGGCCAGGTTGGACACAGGGGCTTGGAGCAAGCTGCTCCAGTGGAAGGGGTCCCTGCCCGTGGCAGGGGTTGGAGCTGGAGTAGCTTTGAGCTCCCTTCCAACCCAAACCAGGCTGGGGTTCTGTGATCGTTTGAAGTATGAAGGGTTAGTTAAGTACAACTGATTGTGCATAAGGAGCAATGTACAAAAACTGGGGGTATAACTGGTCATACTGGCACCTTCTCAAATCCTAACCCCATGGAATATCTTGGTTTGCTTTTTTCCAGAACGTGGAGTACAACATATTTGAAGGCACAGAGTGCCATGGGGCTCCTACCGTGGTCATAAGTCAGGGCAGAGTTGTTCTTGAGGATGGGAACCTGTGTGTCACGCAGGGCTCAGGCCGCTTCATCCCCAGAAAGACGTTCCCTGATTTTGTTTATAAAAGGATAAAGGCAAGGAACAGGGTAAGGAGAATTTTACTTGCCGTGATCCTGTACTTCCGTTGCAGTCTCTGCATTACTGAGGTGCAGTCGCTGTTGTGGCGGGTCTGCTGATGGGATAGGCAGCAGAAACAAGAGTGTTATTAATGGTTTCTTTCTAGGCCTTGGAAATCTGTGATGTGTCATGTAACTGCCTTGGTGTGTGGCTTGGCATGTTAATCACAGTATCACAGTATGTTAGAGATTGGAAGGGACCTCAAAAGCTCATCCAGTCCAATCCCCCTGCCGGAGCAGGAACACCTAGATAAGGTTACACAGGAACGTGTCCAGGCGGGTCTTGAATGTCTCCAAAGAAGGAGACTCCACAACCTCCCTGGGCAGCCTGTTCCAGTGTTCCGTCACCCTCACTGAGAAGAAGTTTCTTCTCAGGTTTAAGTGGAACCTCTTGTGTTCCAGTTTGTACCCATTACCCCTTGTCCTATCATTGTTTGCCACTGAGAAGAGCCTGGCTCCATCCTCGTGACACTCCCCCTTTATATATTTATATACACTAATAAGGTCACCCCTTAATCTCCTCTTCTCCAAACTATAGAGATCCAGCTCCCTCATCAATCAGTGACACTGATGTGAATATGATAGCTGGTATTGCCCTGGCTGGGGCATGTGTCTGTGGTCCCCCTGGACCTCTGCCAGCATCCTCCTGTTGGCTTTGATGGTGGGAGCGCTGCTGGGTGCCTCGTCCTGCCTGGGCTTCCCAAAGCCCCTCAGTAAGGGGCTGAGCGCAGAGGGAAGGACAAGAGGTCGTTACCCATGAGTTGGGGCTGGTTCTTGTTCAACACAAGCCTTACCCTCCGCTACCCCTCTTGCAGTTGGCTGAGATCCACGGCGTCCCGCGCGGGCTCTATGATGGGCCGGTCCATGAGGTCCTCACCAGCACCAGAGCCGTGGCCCCCACGTCAGCAGCCAGGATGACACCGTGTGCGGGCAAAGCCCCAGCCCCTGCCGTGCGCAACCTGCACCAGTCGGGGTTCAGCCTCTCAGGTAGGGCGGGCACCCCCGGAGCCGGGGCTGGTTTGTGGGGGGTCACTCCTCCGGTTTGTGTGCGCAGCAGGGCAGGGCTGAGGAGTGCACACTGCAGTTCTGTGCCGTAACAAACAGGTCGTGCTGTTGCAGCAGCCCAGGGGCTAGATGCAGCACAGGAACCTTTACTGTACATGGGCAGTGCAAAGGTGAATGTCTGTCATGAAGCCCGGTGAGGGGCTGTGAGATGGTTGTGAGTACAGGGGCCATGGAGGGTGGAGGCTGCAGTGATGGAGAGCAGGATGAGATGAAGGTGAGGGTCTCACCAGTGTCCTGCCTGGGTCAATGGGGGTGCTGATGTGGCTATTGCAGGGGTAAGGACTTCAGCCCTGGCTGCATCCCGTGCAAGTCATGGGTTAGAAGTGGTTGGGGTTGTAGCCAAAAAAATGCATTTACAGAAACCAGAATTTAATTTCTTTCGACTTTCTGCATAAGCAGGCAGCAACTCATAGAACCATGGAACAGTTTGGGCTGGAAGGAACCTTAAAGCTCCTCCAGCTCCAACCCCGGCCACAGGCAGGGACCCCTTCCACTGGAGCAGCTTGCTCCAAGCCCCTGTGTCCAACCTGGCCTTGAGCACTGCCAGGGATGGGGCAGCCACAGCTTCTCTGGGCACCCTGTGCCAGCGCCTCAGCACCCTCACAGGGAAGAGCTTCTGCCTAATATTGAGCTCCATTCAGCTCAGCATCCTGCAGAGATCTCCCCGGTGCCCTTAGAGGCCTTGGAAACCAGTGTGCTTTGCCACAAAATGACTTTATTAATGTTTTCTTAGCTGGTTGAAATCAGATGGATCACATACTGTTTAATAAATGTACAGGGTCCCCCATTTTGTTATATAGAATCTGTTCACACAGGAATGCATTCACAGTGTTTTCCAGAGAGAAGCAATGAAAGATGTTCAGGCAAGTAATGACATTCCAAACTGTGCTATGGTAACGCAGTGTCCACAGTGCAGTACAGCGAAGGGCCGGGTGTTTCCAGCAGGGAAGTGCATTGTGGTTGTGCCCCCCTGCCCATGCTCTCCTGTCCCGCAGGGTCGCAGGCTGACGACCACATCGCGCGCCGCACGGCTCAGAAGATCATGGCCCCGCCGGGGGGACGCTCCAACATCACCTCCCTGTCCTGACGGGTGCTGGGGCCGCGCTCTCCCCCCCGTGCCACCACGCTGGGCGCTGCCGGGGTGTCCCCGTGTCCAGTGGGCAGGGGGCGGTGGGTCCCTGGAGCGGGGGGTGACAAGTGAGGCTCCGCCGGCTGCCCCAGCCCTCCCTGTAGGTAGAACTGAGCATAGAGAAACCCCAGAGGTAGCGCTCCCATCCCGAGCCCTCCCGCCTCTTTCCTCACTAGCTCCTCGAAAAGCCTCCCCTGTGCATGCAGGCACCAGGTGTGCACTTGGCAGCATGCTCAGTGTGCTGCCTTGGGGCCATCCCAGCCTGGCGTGGGTGGAAGGGACCTCAAAGCTCCTCCAGCTCCAACCCCTGCCACAGGCAGGGACCCCTTCCACTGGAGCAGCTTGCTCCAAGCCCCTGTGTCCAACCTGGCCTTGAGCACTGCCAGGGATGCAGTGATGGTGCGTTCTGGCTGGAACAGGCTCCTTTTCTGGTAGCAGCAGCTGCCCTTTGTAGTCAAAGGACTTTTAACCAATAAGCACTTCTGACTCTATGGATTTATTACGTACCTGGAGTGCCCATGTCCAGCGTGGCTGTGTGTGATGGCACTGTCCATCTGTGCCTGCGTTGTCACAGGCTTGGCACGGTGGGTGCTGGGCCCTGCGCCGTGGCCGATGTGCTGCTGAGCTGCAGCCTTGCTCCTAGGCTCATTTTTTAAAGACTGTTTATAGTGTTTTTCAAGCACCCAGTCCTAGCCCCAGTAACCAGCTCAGCTGAAGGCCAGCTGCACAGGACAGACTCTTTTATAAAGGTTCTTGTAGCCTGTTGATTCTGTTTAAAGCATATACAGTTAGGGTGAACCTCTCCACACAGCTATGCATGTACCTCTGGCGAACGGCTCGCCTGGCGTTCTGCTCCTTGCCTTCAATAAAGTTTGTTGGAAACCATGAACTGGTGGAAGTGGTCGATCCACCCGAGCTGAGTTTTGTGTTTCCTTCCTTTGGGTTTTTACACAGGAGGGTTTGTGACATCAAACCCCATGAGTTCATGGCTTGTAGGTTGCTGCACTCCCCCTTGCCAGTGGAAAGAGGTTTGTTATTAGCCATGTGGGAATACCGCAGAATCCCAGCCTTTTGCTGAGTCCCAGCATGCTTGCAGGGGGCTGCTGCATTGGATTTGGTGTCACACAACAGCCTTTGGGTTGCCAATAAAGCTGAAATGCCACTAGGGTGGATGCTTTCCTCCATCAGATTAATGCCAGTACTGATGCCTGCGGGACGGGGATGCAGTAAGAGATGCTGTAACGTGCCTGTGGGATGCAGATTTCCCCCCAGCAGTGTTGTGCTGTGGTTTCCAGCTCGCTCTGAAAGCAGGGAACAAGAAAGGGAACGAAGGAGTTGTGGAAACATGAGCAAGCATCTGCTCCGAAGGTGGAAGCTGAAATCGCAGCGTTTGGCAGCTCTGGATACACTAACCCACAAGGTAAACACAGATAAATGCACCTGAGCTCACACATTTAAACCAGGAGGGGATGTTATTGTGGTGGTCTGATCTGACCTACATCTCATTGTTTAATGCAATGACCTGCAGTGATTTCTGCATCAGATGTCGGAATGCATCTGTTCATGTATTTTATATGTCATTTTAAACAAGTTAGTTAATGTCAGCTGTTGGTTTTCTGGGTTTGGCACCAAGACTATTGAACACTCATTTATTTTCTTTCCAAGTGGAGTTTTTAAAGTGGAAACTACACAGGGAAAGATTAAAGCTAACAGTTTGCTGGCAGTGACCTCTCAACCTCCCAGACACCCATTGGGTGACAGGGATACCCCAGCCACCCCAGCTTGGGAGCACTTAGCAAGGGAATTGGATGAACTTTGTCCTGGAAATATCCCTTTTCCAGCAGTCAGTTCCTCAGTGGAAGGTACCTGGGCAGCTGGGTAACTTCAACCCTTGCCATTCAAGGGCTGTGTGTGGGGAACACCCTCACCCTGTTACCTCCTCCTGTGCAAGGGGTGAGTGCTGGTGCTCTGTGCTCCATGTGCCCTTGGGGACACCGAGAGGGGTCACACCAGAGGCACCAGATCCCACTGGGCACGGCCAGGGCATGGGGCTGCCACCCACCAGCAAAGGGCTCTGCAGAGAGAGACAAGTGAAGGCTCAGGTACGAGTTTGTCTCTTTCCTTCTTTAGAAGTCAGGAAGAGCCTTTGTAGATGTAGAGCATCACTGAGCTGCTTTCCGCCCCTCAGGTAAAGCAAGCCAGCACATTGCACCAACAGCCTCAATAAATAATTCCGAGTACTGACAAGGGATGAAAGAGGAAAACCAGAGACCTCCCCAAGCTCCCCGGGGCCGTTTTTATCTCATTTCAGATGCAAACCTCAGGGCTGGGCAGTGAAATACTGGAGGCAGTGAGCTGCAGCTGTGGTGTGCTCAGCAGGGTCAGGGTCTCTCACTGACACCAGAAAGTGGGACACTGTACAATGCCTGGGTTCAGTGTTCCCCCTTTTAATGCCTGTTTTGCAGGTTCTAAGGTGTCTCACAGATCCACAGAACCATCGAATCGCAGCCTGGTTTGGGTTGGAAGGGACCTTAAAGCTCCTCCAGCTCCACCCCCTGCCATGGCAGGGACCCCTTCCACTGGAGCAGCTTGCTCCAAGCCCCTGTGTCCAACCTGGCCTTGGAGGTAATTAAAGCATTCACTTCCTGCAAGATCCAACGTTTTTCCTCTGCAGATCAATGACCCAGAAGTGACAACAAGGAGCTGGCAATGTTAAAAACACACATTTATTACTCCACATACGCAATGGCTCCTTGCACTGTCTGCAGAAACACAAACCTGTCGTAACTCAACTGTTCCGTGACATGGTAAAACCCTCATGCAATAAAAGTACAGAAATGTATTAACATAAAATACAGAGATCTCTTTTACATAGAGTTCCACTGAAATAATTCAAACCCTACCAAGGCATCAGGATTTCGGCACTGTCCATTGTCAGGTTCATATTATTGGCCTTTTTCCTATGGTTTTATTACTCACTTTTTGGCAAGGCAGAGTAAGAAAGACTTGGCAACAGAAGAAATGTCAGGACGTGATCTGGCATTTGCTTTCTATGCAAAATCCTCAGTGGAGTCTGTGGAATTCAATAGACACACTTAAAAATCTGCAACTGCAAAACTTCCTAATACAACAGAGAGAAAGGAACAATCTTATGGCAAGGAATTGAAGGAGAATAATTTATAGGTGACGTCGACTTCTCACAGCGGATAATGGCACACTCTGTATAAATCTGTCATACAAAAAATACATGTATTTAAATACCTGTATACAGAGAATTATTGTGTTCTGGTTGTAGTGGAGGTGTAAACCAGAGCTGCTACCGACTCCTCCAAGCTCTGCGCGATGGGGTTTGGTGCCAGGAGGGTTTCAAGACTTCACAGCGAGTTCTGCTCACATCTGGAGCTGCACAGGACAGCAGGTCACCGCCAGCACAGCGCAGGGGGGAGGCTCCTGCCCCACACAGGACGTGGATGGGGTTTGCATCCCAGGGCACAGCCCCAGAAGGAGCTGTGGGATGCGCGGTGCTGATCTCGAGCAGCATGGGCTGGTGATGGGGCACAGCGATGGGGACACGGCACAAAGGCACCCAGAGGCACAGTGGGGATGAAGGACACGCTGTGTTGAAACCCACGAGGAGGGTCTGACAAGGAAGCAAACGTGAAGCTGTTTCCATCATTTTTCTGTTTTCCAGCCACTCTTTGCTTCTCATTTCTTCTCCAGGGGCTTGGCATGAGCGGGCATCAGTAAAGCCTGATCCCGATGGGCACTCCCGGCGTTACACCCATGCACTATCGAAGATCAGGAGTACTGCAGTTGTGTTATACTCATGGTGTCCTTGCTCCTCAGCACAATAATCCCAGAGGTCTGTGTCCTGTCGCTTTTCTCTGTGCTTAAGGGTTAGAAGCAGACTGAGGCAGAAGCAGTGTCCTGGGAGATGCGCTGCTGGATTTCAGTGGCACTTCCCGGATTGTTTCCCCTGGGAAGGAGCAATTCCCTGGTGTCTCCCAGCAGCTCTCCCTGCCTCTGCCAATGCTGCTGAGGATATTCTGCATGATTTAGCCAGGAAGAGCAGTGCTAAAAGGGAACAGAAATGACTGACATGGAGAGGGTTTGGGGTGAGAAACAGCCATTTCAGAAGGGAGCCAGCTCCTCCCTACATATATCAGCCTCGACCTCAAGGGCCAGTTGTCACTTGTCCTAAAAGGGATGAAAATGTATCATTAGACATGTCCTACCAAACTGGCTTGTACATCTCTTCTGGCCTGAGAGCTTCTGGCTGAACAGGATCTGTGTGCACCTCATATACGTGGTGGTTTGGTCAAAACCCAAGTGATGCTCCTTGTCGTACCGATACTCCATACTTCTGTCCTTATTTACAGGTATGATATACAGTGCAATGGAGTTTGCTGCCAAACCTTATCCATAGTGACGGAGCAGATCACCTGTCATTTATAATTCCTGAAGAAATACATGCTTTGACCCTCGTTCTGCTCCTTTTGGCAACCCCTGCCACAGGCAGGGACCCCTTCCACTGGAGCAGCTTGCTCCAAGCCCCTGTGTCCAACCTGGCCTTGAGCACTGCCAGGGATGGGGCAGCCACAGCTTCTCTGGGCACCCTGTGCCAGCGCCTCAGCACCCTCACAGGGAAGAGCTTCTGCCTAAGAGCTCAGCTCAGTCTCCCCTCGGGCAGGTTCAAGCCATTCCCCTTGGCCTGGCCCTACAGGCCCTTGTCCCAAACCTCTTTTTATAAGAAAGCAGAGGAGCGAGGAGCAGGCTGTTCCCCAGGAGCAGGGGCTGCCCACCAGCAGCAAATGGGGCAGAGCACATGGCCCATCCACAGGCACACACAGGTGCTCTGATGTGCAGAAGAAGGTAACTGGGTGATGAGGGTAATGGAGTTACCCAGTAATCAGACTGGAAATGACTCAGGGCAGGGAGGGCAGGTCCCCTAGCGCAGCCCGGATCAGGGGATAGTGTTCATCTGAGAGCTGTTCCCTGCAGCCTGTCATTAACACAGCTCCTCAAGAGGCATGGGGTGTCCCTGTGCAAGGACCCACAGCAGCACCCACAGGGTGACCGTGATCACTGTCCAGGCCGAGGGTCGGGATGCTCATCACATCCAACAGCATCCTCCTGGCTCTGTCCCTAACATAACTGTGCAATAGGAGGCAGAGCTTTGGCTTCCCTCCTCGGAGCCATGCTTGCACACCCAGCACCTCCTGGACAGACTCCTCTGGGAACCTGGTTCTGCACAATTTGAGCCATGCACTAATTTCCACATAAAACTGTGGAAAAGAAACGCATCGTGTCATGTTTCATATAAACTGTCTTGTACCAGCTTCCCTTTTTTATTCACAGAAACAAAAAAACACATCAAAAATTGTCCTGAAATAGTCTGCATCTGTTAAAAACATCTTGTACCCATTTCTGCACCAGGAATAGGCGGTGAGGATGCAAAGCTGCACCCTGCTAACCTGGCAGCACAGGGATGTTGGCAGTGTGACGGTGAGTGCAGCCCTGTCGCAACCCTGCGCATCACCAGGGTGCAGCAGAACCCACCCCTCGTCTTCAGCAGCAGCAACCAAAAGCCATTCTACAGAGTAAGCAACTAGTGAAGGCTTCTGAAACAAGAAGAAAGGCAACAGCCACAACCGGAGCAAGGTAAGAGCTCCTGTCGTATTAAGAAGCTAAAACGGGAATTGTAAATTATATACAGTACTTGTAGTTTACACTGGAAAGAAAGTAAATCGAAGGGTGAAAGAAGATATTCCCATCATTCTTAACTGAGCAGCATTGCAAGGCCACCACTTTGCTCCAATAAAACCTGAGCCTGTGGTAAACAGCATCCTCCAAGAGAGGTCTGTTCCTACCGCCCCTCACCGCTCGTGAAGAAATCAAACATTCAGGTACATCCTGCACCTCACCTGCACGTTACATCCTGCACCTCACCTGCATGTTGCATCCTGCACATTACATCCTGCACCTCACCTGCACGTTACATCCTGCACCTCACCTGTGTGTTACATCCTGCACCTCACCTGCACGTTGCATCCTGCACGCTCCACCCTGCCCAAACCCCTGCAGAACTCATGGAGAGCACAAACACCGCTGTTTGCCCCAAGGTGGGGAAGAAACTCTGAGAGATGACAAGGACAGGGACGTGCCTGGGACATCCTGATGCTGCCAGGCCCACCAGCTCAAGGCTCCCAGGAGGCTGGTGCCACCCGCCACAGCCCGGAGAGGTGCTGGTGCTGCACACGGAGGGCTGCTGCTCCCCACGGCCACCTTTGCCAACAGGGAATGCCAATGGAAAACTGACACCCCCCATTTGGCCTCCTCCACACCCGCTCGGCGCCTTCCCTGGCTGTACCCCAGGATGTGACTCCCTTTCTTGCCATGTCACTGTACCAAAACCATGTGCAGAGCAGCAGGTCAGCAAGCTGATGCTGAGAAAGGACACGTGAAGAAGCTGCTCTGCCTCCTGCGACACGTTGCATAGCAGTATCCATTCCCACGGCAGGCAGCCCCTGTGCCCACTGGTGATCCATAACTGCAGGGTGCAGCTCTGTGAGAACCGTCTCTGTTGCTACAGCTTTGCAAGACCCATGTGGGTGCTGCGGGGTGTCGGGGACACCCTGTGGTGCTCAGCACGACCTGAGGATGCTCCTGGCGGGGCGCAGGATGCTGCAGCCTAGCTGCTGCCCGCCGCGGAGCACACGGAGCTGCACATGGTCAGGTTGGAGGTCTCTGCCTCGGCCTCTGTCTCGGCTTCATCCGTGGTCTCAGGGGGCAACAGGGACTCGCTTGGCTGCTCTTGGCTCCTCTTTAGCCTGCGTGGAGACAGGAAGCAGGCGTTACACAGAGCGCAGCAGGGGGGTGAATGGGGTCTGCAGTGCTGAGCGTGCCCCTGCTCCTCGAGAGGTGCCCGCAGCACACCCGTGCTGAACAGCAGGAGCACAGAGCACAGACATGGGCATGACAGGGACTGAGGGACCAGCAAAACCCACTGGAACCTCTGCAGCCCTCCACAGCGCCCTGCAAGGCTTCAGCCCACCCGGACCTCAGCACAGGCTCCCTGCCCTCCACCACCTCCTCCGTGAGGCTCCCTCTTGCTTTACTTCTGAACTCAACGCTCCCCAGGCAGTGTGCTGCCCTGGGCAGCCTGTTCCAGTGCCTGAGCACCCTCTGGGGCAGGAATTGTTCCTCAGCTCCATCTAACCCTGCCCTGGTGCAGCTTGAGGCCGGTTCCTCTTGTCCCATCCCTTGTTCCTTGGGAGCAGAGCCCAGCCCCTCCTGGCTCCATCCTCCTGGCAGGCAGTTGGAGGGAGCCTTCTCCTAAAGCAGGATGGGTGAGCAGGTGCAATGGGGGAACTGAAGCAGTGTCCTGTACCTGTGTTAAATCCAGCAGTCTCCCTGCAGCATGTTTTATTCAATGGCAGGGATTAATAATCCCTGATCTTTTCTCCCTTTTTGGTCAGAACTTGCATACAGAGGCATCAGCTGAGCTCCTTGGCTCACATCAGTCACCCAGGGCTGAGCTGGCAGCAAGAAGCTCCCAGCCATGAGGCACCAGCACTCTGATTCCAAAGGAAAGTCAGGAAAAAGAGTTGTTTTTCCTTAGCAAATAAAAGATGCAGACTCACTTCTCTCTGTTGAAGATGACAAAGTCTTGCTGGATAGCTTCAAGGCATTCTTGGAGATAGTCATTTTCCTGGTGAAGAAAAACAATACAGGCATGAGCAGTTCCATCTGCACCTCAGAGGGCTGCACACTGGCTTGCACAGCCCACCCCTCCTAGTCTCTGCCTTCATTTTACCTCCTGCATCACCTCTGCCAAGGTGCAGAGACCTGCTCTGAAGCTGCTGCTGCACCCCAGCTCCAACCACTGCAGGGGTGCCCATCTCCCGCACAGACAGCATCTTCCCATGGTGCCCATTCCTGCACCCCCAGACATGGCCACGTCTGGGGCCCTGCTGGCCGCGGGTCCTGGCAGGCAAAGCACCCTCACCCCTCCTGGCAGCCACCCCTGCCACACGTGTTTGCAGATTTGCTTAGTCTGAGTTCTTCTCCTCCCTCACTTCCCCATTGCTCCTTCACCCGTTTCCAGTCAGTGCCATTGATCGGAGCGCTGGCTCCCGCTGCACAGGAGGGGATGGAGCTGGCAGTTCCTTGGTGCAGACAAGGAGACAGGCAAAATCCCACCCGGCAGTGCCTGCTGCTCTCAGACCTCGCTGCGGGAGCAGCGTGTGTTCCCTCAGCCTGGGGTCTGCACTGCGCAGGGAGCAGGGCTGGTGACGTGTGATGCCCTCACAGTCCCCACACACACTGCCCACAGCAGCTGCTTTCTGCAGGACCGGAACCTGCTCCTACTCCTGGGATGTGTCTGCTCTGTGAAACTGGGATTCGGGTGTTTGCCTCCTCAGTGCATCACGATTCCCACAGTGAAATCAATGCACCGCGTCTCCAGCTTCATCCCTGGCTCATGTCGCGACAGCAAACAGGAGCAGTGACCCAAACCTGGAGTGGATGTCCTGCATGGCCACCATCAGCGCTTGGTAAACTACTGCCAGGTAACACCACCAGCACCAGTCACGGGCACTGGGGAGTGCCTCTTGGCAAGGTGCAGACCACATGGATGTGGTTCTTTATCTCCTCTCTTGATCAGTGTGCCCAGAGCTGCTGCTTTTATTTCCAAAACACAAATTACTGTGTTTCGGAGTACAGATTGTCAGACTCATGTAAAAGGAACATTTGGTTGGCAGAAATACTCCATTGGCAAATGTTTTTATCAAAATCAATCTCATTTACTTTGTTGTCGCAGTAACTGGAATCATAGAATCCCAGACTGGTTTGGGCTGGAAGGCACCTTAAAGCTCATCCAGTTCCAACCCCTGTGGGCAGGGACACCTTCCACTAGAGCAGCTTGCTCCAAGCCCCATCCAGCCTGCCCTTAGCTCCTGCTCTACACCCCAAAGTGAGCCTCAGCCCTTTCCCCAGGAAGCACTTACAGACTGTGAGCTGTCCTTGCTGTTATCCCTTGACTTGTTCTTCGCAAGCCTCTTCTTCTTCTTGTGCAAGGGCCTGGACTCCAGGATCATCTCCTCCAGCTCGAAGGTGGGGTCGCAGTGCAGGCGGCCCTTCTGCTGGGACACAGGACATGACACAGGCATCAGGCACTGCAGAGACACTTGCAGCAAACACAAACGACTTCTCCATCACAGACCTCTGCTGAACGCAGCAGTTCCAAACCAACAAGAAGACGCAGACACAGACACAGACGGCTCCTACTCACGTTGGGGACGAAGCCCGGCTCCACTTGCTTCCTGCAGACGTCGCTCCAGACCACACCGGACAGATATGCCGAGGCCTGGATGTCGGCCAGGCAGGAAAAGCGATGCTCAGGGTTCACTGTCAGCAGCTGGGGAGAGAAAAGCATTCCTGTCAGAGGAGAGTGATGAGGAGCCCACCAGCATCCTGCCTTTGGGATGACTCGGGTGGCTCAGCCATGTGGGAACCTTTCTGTCACAGGCAATAGGGAAATCACTGTAGGGAAAGATAGGACTAGAAACATATTCTGGAGGTTGTGAAACAACTCTGGCACCATGAGCTCCTGGACCAGCATGGCTTTGCTCCTTCCTGTGCCTACCTATGGTGCACAGCCCTCCACCAGTGTCCAGAGCTCAAGAGCACAATCCTCCCCATGCCAGCAACAGACCTTGCAGAGCCAGGCTGAGAGAGCTGGGCTGGGTCAGTCTGGAGAAGAGAAGGCTCCTGAAGGGGAGACCTGAGAGCAGCTCCAGTGCCTAAAGGGGCTGCAGGAAAGCTGGAGAGGGGCTTGGGACAAGGGATGTAGGGACAGGCCAAGGGGAATGGCTTGAACCTGCCCGAGGGGAGACTGAGCTGAGCTCTTAGGCAGAAGCTCTTCCCTGTGAGGGTGCTGAGGCGCTGGCACAGGGTGCCCAGAGAAGCTGTGGCTGCCCCATCCCTGGCAGTGCTCAAGGCCAGGTTGGACACAGGGGCTTGGAGCAAGCTGCTCCAGTGGAAGGGGTCCCTGCCCTGGCAGGGGTTGGGAATGGGTGAGCTTTAAGGCCCCTTCCAACACAAACCAGGCTGGGGTTCTGTGATTCTGCAATGATGGGCAGCCCAGCAGATGGCAATGTCAACCTGCTGAATGCTCTGCAGCAGCCAGCACTGACAGCATCAGAACATTGCTTCTCATTGAAACAAAAACTGTATGTAGTGTCCACCCAACACTGACTTACATCCGTGTTACTTGTCTGCTCACCATGAAGTGAGGGTATCCTTTTAATAACACACTACTCAGCTACAAAGAAGCCAAACCACAGCCTCCACACCAAGTCAACAACCTTGTCACACAGCAGTAGAAGGAAAGCAGCAAACTGTCCCCTCTGCAGGGACACCCCAGGCTGGTCTCACAACTCAACCCAAAGCAGACCCTTTGGCTGGCAGAACTGGTGAGAGGAGCAGTGAACACAGCCAGGGCAGCCTCACAGGGCTGTTTGTACCAATGCTGCTGCCTCTGCAGGTTACAATGGTCACAGAGGGGATGCTGAAAGGGCACAGCTCCAGCCCAGGCAGCAATTTGATCATCACACCAAAATCAGCCTTTCTCCTTCCCTTGCCATCAAAGACAATGCGTCTTATTGCAGGGATAACAAACAAGCAAAATACAAGATTAACCTGTGCTTAAGCCTGAACAAAGTCATTACAATCAGTCCTATTTCAATTTTACATTATTTATCGATGTGCTGAAAACGTTCCAGCCAGTCCCACGTGCTGCAGCTAACGTGGGGTGTAAGCCACGCCAGCAGGACTGTTACCTTCCGCAGCAGAGCAACCATCTCTTTTGACCAGGCAGATGAGTACTGCACGCTCACAGTGCTGAAGAGCTGCACTAAAGACTCCACGGGGTTGTTGGAGTGGATGTCGTACGGCCTCTGGGGGGGAAAGAAGAAAGATGAGAAGAAATCCCCTCTCCTTGGTGGCCCATCAGTGTTGTTCAGCAGTCGGGGAGCCCTACCCAGCCCCGCAGCAGCTCGTATGCCATGATTCCCAGTGACCACCAGTCGACCTCGAAGGAGTAGCCCGTCCCGCCGCTCAGGAAGGAATGGAAGATCTCCGGGGCTGGATAGAAAGGGCAAAATGCAACAGGTTACGTGCTGGCTTCAGTCTGTGTGTGGGTCAGTATTCACACAAGGCAGTATGGAATCCTTAGGGTTATCTTGATGCACTACTACTGCTTGTGGGGAGGGTTTGCAAGAGGAGTGAGAGCCCTCCCAGCTGAGGGATGGCAGGAACCTGCACCCATCAGGATGCACTGAGACCCAGCACAGGGTGGGATGGGGAGGGTGTGCTGATGCTGACAGCGATTCATTCACTTGTCAAGGCTCAGGCTCACTGAATGACTAGGGCACATGCATTAACATGCTGAATTCATTCAGTGCCTTTGTTACAGGCAGGCACTGTCAGGCATGCGGTGAATGCTCCTGAAGTGTAAAATATAGATGGAAAGAACAGCTATTTCTTACCCATGTATGGCTTTGTTCCAGCTAATGCAGTTGCTCTTTCACCGTCCCTAATTATTGTTGCAATATTAAAATCTGTTAAATGTGCATGACCTTAAACAGAGACAGATTTTAAGAAGGAATTAATCGCAGTGGCAATGGGGTCAGAATACATTTGCTTTATAAGCTGCTGCCCTCGGCAGTGTGGCACAGGCACAGGCACAGGCAGGTCAGGGTCAGGCACCACTCAACAGCCATAACTGGTCCTGAAGCATTCTCGGGCTGTGGAAGTTTCATGGGTGCTAGCGTTGGGTCTGGATTTTAAACCAAACCAGCAGCCCACACCAGCTGCAGCACTTGCCCAGATTGCTCTAGCCAGAACCTACAGTCAAAGACAACAACAGGGAACCCCTATACTAAGCTATTGCCTTATCGTTTTTATTGCAGATCAATTGTCTCATTGATTAAGACCCTAGCACTGGTGTTGATGAAAGCCATTGAACCACGAGCACCCCAAAGGCGCAGAGCTAAAAGCAGTGCCTCTCTGTACAGACCGCAGCAGCTCTGGACATGCCAGCTGAATGAAATCACAGCAATGCTTCCCAAACCACAGGGCTGTGTGCAGGAATCACTAAGGGATTTTGGGAAGTGCCGGAACAGCTTCTCTCTGCTTCCACCTTCTCTGCCATCAGGACTGACAGCTGACATTCAGAGTGGGTCATCCTTTTCAGGCCGGCCTGGTATGCACAAACCCATTCACTCACCCTTCTGCTCTCCATCTACAAGGCAGTTATGAAAGTGGTGTGTAAATGTGAAAATCGATGAATCGCCCTTACATTTCCTTTTCCCTTTCTGTTTGGGCTTTATGCCCTGCATTATCTTCCAATTAACTTCTGTGCAAGCTTTAGTTTTGACTAGGGTTTACGGTAAAACTTGGCTGGTTTGGGTCCTGCTGTCCTGAGAGGTTGTGTCTTTTAGATCTACCACTGGACCAGAGATCACTATAGCATCTGCTGTGGTGTTTCACCTGCATTGGCCACTGGGACTATTACCAGTAGATGCTCCCATCAAGATTCCTGCGCTCATTCCAGCTGGCTCAGCCCAGATGCATCCCCCCAGGAACACATCAAGACTAAAAGTGCATGTGCAGATCACACACTAAAACCCACCAAAGCCCATCCTCGTGCTTTGAGCCCTCCCGTGATGCCAGGCACTGCAGCTCTGGCACAGTGAGCTGTGCACTGAGCACAAGGAGAGAGGAGGTCAAGTGTGGGCAGACAGAGGTGGGCGTAACAAGGAGGGGGCTGCTCTTGGTGGATCTGCCCTGGCATCACAGGTATGTTCAACCCCTCACTGATCAATCAGAAGGAATGGTGCTTTTTCCACTCTTTTCCCAGATAAAAAGACACACAGTATTAAAGACTGCAAAGAATCTGTGCCTTGAATGAAGCAGGCAGGAAAGCAAGGCTGAGAGATCCTACCTTGCTCATCGAGGAGGATGTTGTCTGGTTTTACATCCCTGGGAAAAGAAGCAGGGATAGAGCAGGGTGAAATCTCAGATCAAGGATGAACTCAACATCAGGAAACCTTTTTTACCTACCAAAAATTAAGAGCAACTTAAACAAAAATAGCCAAACATGAGCTAAATCCCTTTAGGATGGACTGGAAATACACTTTTCCGAGGGAACTGGGCAAAAAAGTAGGAGCATGGGACTTGTTCAGGCATCATTTCCAAGAAAAATTAATAACACAACACTGGGCCTATTTCTGTGAAGCCCTTGATCAGACTGAAGCCTGCACTGAGAGGTGCCTTCAGCCCCCAGCAAAGTGCCAGGCTTCATCAAGGCCACAGGGGAGCAGGACCAGCAGTGGAGGGTGCCCAGGACCTGCACTGCCAGTGCGGCTTAGTGCCACCAGTTCCATGACTTGGGAGCCCCAGTAGCATTAAGCAAAGGCAGCATCATAGATTTCACAGAACCACAGAGTGGTTTGTGCTGAAGGGACCTTAAAGCTCCTCCAGCTCCAACCCCTGCCACGGGCAGGGACCCCTTCCACTGGAGCAGCTTGCTCCAAGCCCCTGTGTCCAACCTGGCCTTGAGCACTGCCAGGGATGGGGCAGCCACAGCTTCTCTGGGCACCCTGTGCCAGCGCCTCAGCACCCTCCCAGGGAAGAGCTTGTGCCTAGGAGATGTGGGTTACCGGTGGATGATGTGCTGGCTGCGGAGGTAGTCGAGGGCCAGCGCCATCTCACAGATGTACAGCTTGACCGTGTCCTCGGTGAACTGCACGTTCTGCTGCAGGTGGTAGCGCAGGTCACCGCCGAGGAGCAGGTCCACCACCATGAACATGTCCTCCTCGTCCTGGAAGGAGTACCTGCGGGACCGGCGGCTGTGAGCCAGCGGGCTGAGCCTCACCACTAAACCACATCATGCTTTTGCCTCTCCTCGGTACACAGCTCCTGTGAACACTGCAAACAGCCCCACCACGAGCATATGCTGTTTACAGCTTCCTAATGGAGCAAGCCCAACTCCAGATGCTGTCTTGGTTTTTAGCCTGTTGCTACCCTAAGCAGTGCTGCTTCCAAGGGGTGGGAATCCCAATGAACTTCCCCTGCTTGCTCATCACCTCCCAGCTGATGCTGTGTGACCCCAGCAGCAGGCAGAGCTCCGGGCTTTGCTAGCCAGTCAGTTCAGAAAAACTTCCCATTTTCTATTGTGAACAATCCAATAATGCTACTTAAAATATCCCTGCCTCTCCTGAGAATGGATTGGGAAACACAACTGCTAATTTAACCAGGGAAAAACAGAAAAGGAGATTTATATTTACTGTCGAGTAAAACGCCTCCCTAGATGTGCGGTGATCCATCCCACAGGAGACTGACAGCAGTGGGGATACACCACAAAACAAGGCCCAATTGTTATATTTGGTGACAGCGTTTCTAAGGAGAGAGTATGTGGGATTGCATAATACTTATGAATCACACGCTTCTGCTCTCATCTTCAACGTAGGTTTATTCCGAAAGTACGAGCTGAAAGGGAAGGATCTGCTACAGGAGCAAGTTTTCCCAAAGAATTTCATTATTTGTTGGAAAAATGCTACCTTCAATGGCTAAAATGTTGAAAAAACAAATATAAACTTACTTGGCTCTTCTGGAGCAATGGATTGACAAAAAGAATGTCAAGTAGGTATCACTCTGGGTATAAAGCCTTCTGAATTTCGGAATACTGATTTGATGGCGTGTGCACTGGCAAAACCCATCCCTGTTACTGAGTAATGTGGTAAGGCCTAATTGTGGAAAACCTCCTCAAATCAGGCTGATTTAACAAACAGCTTGAGCTGGCAATGCTCTTGAAACGCACCCTGTCCAGTCACAGTGCAAATGAGATGAGGAGATCTCCTTGCCTTCCCCACAACCACCAGTCCCCTGCACTAGCATCCCTCCGTCTCCATCTGCGGAGCTGCCCTTGCAGTGCTGGTGTAGACTCAGACAGGGCCAGGACAGCTTTAACCCCCCCAAGCTCAGCCCTACCCCAGGAACTCCACTGAGCACACTCGCTATGGGTGCGAGCAGTGATTCATGAGTATTACACAACCCCACATACTCGCTCCTTAGAAATGCTCTCACCAAATATAACAACTGAGCCTTGTTTTGTGGTGCATCCCCACTGCTGTCAGTCTCCTGTGGGATGGATCTGCTTATTTAAACCCCCAGTCAATCTCTGCAAGTCTGAGTCCTTTGCAGGGACCACATGCTGTGTGAAACACTGGATATTTTGTGTAATTTTGTGTTCATTAAAGTTATGAATCATCACCTCTACAACTGCTGGTTTCTTTGGCTTTTCACACTGTTATTTGCTCCAGGAACTGGCCCCACACACTGTCGGATCCGACACAGACTCTCAGCATCTCCACGCACATCAGAGGGACCATCTCTTTAACCAGGAGCATTGTACTGCCTGGGGCACCTTAGTGGGACTCAGCATAGCAGCACAGCATGTACAAAATGGTTTAGGGTTCGGTGGGCAGTGGGGTCCCTTCAAAGGGACCTGACAGCAGCATTTGCAAGAGGCTGTGAAAAACACCCCAACGCACGCACAGGGGTTGGATGGAAAAGGAGAAGCTGAGCTGCTCTGAAATGTTTGGTTCCCTAACATTTGGGGACATCCCGTGCTGTTTCCTGAACACATCCCATTACCATGGACTTGCACTGCAGCAGCTCACTGGGATGCTCCCATGGATGCCCGTGACCACAGAAGGACGGCCAGAACATGGCTCTGTGAGCACTGGAGGGCAGGGGGAAGGAGCTGCTCACCAGAGGTTCACCAGGAAGACGTGCTCGATCTCCTGCAGGATTTCCAGCTCCCTGAAGACGTTGCGAACCTCGTCCCTCTCGATGCACTGCTGCTTGTTCATGTACTTCATGGCGTACATCTTCTCGGTGTCTCTCTTCTGCACAATACACACCTCAAGGGGTGCAGGAGGGGAAGGAAAAAGAGATCTAGTGAGATGTTCTGTATCCTCATTTGCTGCTTTACTGGGCTGAGACCCACACCACTTCTATTCGCTACCCAGTATTCCCAATCTCTGGGCTGGGAAGTGGAATCTACAGATAGAAGCATCCCTGCTCCAAGTGCAGTGCCCATGCACTGCTGATTTGGGCTCCATTACACCCAGGCTGTTTCTAACTGCTCTGTTATGCAGGAGATTCCTCTAGATGTGGCAGCCAGCTCCAGGAGAGCTTTCCAGCAGGGACTGTGCCTGGGAGCTGTGGAGAGAGCTCTGTGCTCGCTGCCTCTCACCGGAGACCAGCTTCAGGCAGCAGTGGGGCTCCTCTCCCAGCCTCAACTCCATCCTGCTCCCATTGCCGGCTGCCAGCCCCCATCTCCTGCACACAGAGCGGTGCTTGGAAAGGTCAAAACAATCCCCTCTGCTTCAGCAGTCATTACCATGCAGATTTGTTAACAGCAAGGACCACAACCACCATGCCCCTGCAGATGTGGCAGTGCTTGTCCTTGCAGGACACAGACCTCCCTGCATGGGGCTCCACAGAATCCCAGCCTGGTCCAAAGGGACCTTAAAGCTCACCCAGCTCCAACCCTTGCCACGGGCAGGGACCCCTTCCACTGGAGCAGCTTGCTCCAAGCCCCTGTGTCCAACCTGGCCTTGAGCACTGCCAGGGATGGGGCAGCCACAGCTTCTCTGGGCACCCTGTGCCAGCGCCTCAGCACCCTCACAGGGAAGAGCTTCTGCCTAAGAGCTCAGCTCAGTCTCCCCTCGGGCAGGTTCAAGCCATTTGCAGGGTTGCAACCTGCTGTGCTCCCAGCCCAGGCTTGCAGCCTCCAATGGTACCTATGCACTGGGAACAGGGATATGCTCGCAGCCATTCCCACACCAGCACACAGAGCCAGGCCACCAGCAGCCGTCAGTTCCTGATCCACTGGGATAACCCAGTACAATCCAGCACAAGTCCACCACCCTGCAGCCTTGGGTGCCCTCCCTTGGTTCTTCTAATCCTAATGACACCCTAATTCCCAAGGTAACCAGTTTTAAATGAACTAATGAGTTCTCAAGGTAACCATTTTTAAGGGAACTCATGACACTTCCCATCATGTAATCATTCATGTACATGTACATGAACATGAACAAAACGTGTACATAGTAAGAGGAAATCCTGCCTGACCAATTTGGTGACCTTCTATGATGGGGCTACAGAACTGATGGACAGGGGTAGAGCAGTTGATGTCATCTACCTGGATTTGTGTAAAGTGTTCGACACTGTCCCACACGACAGCCTTGTCTCTAAATTAGAGAGACATCAATTTGATAGGAGGACCGCTCAGTGGATAAAGAACTGGCTGGATGGCCACACACAAAGAGTGTCTGAAGGGGGCTATAGGGATGCTGGGGATGGACTCTTCATTAGGGACTGTAGTGACAGGACAAGGGGTAATGGGTTCAAACTGAAACAGGGGAAGTTTAGATTGGATCTAAGGAGGAAATTCTTTCCTGTTAGGGTGGTGAGGCACTGGAATGGGTTGCCCAGGGAGGCTGTGAATGCTCCATCCCTGGCAGTGTTCAAGGCCAGGTTGGACGAGGCCTTGGGTAATATGGTTTAGAGCGAGGTGTCCCTGCCCATGGCAGGGGGGTTGGAACTCCATGATCTTAAGGTCCTTTCCAACCCTAACTATTCTATGATTCTATGTACACATATACATGAAGGATACGTGTATACATGTACATGTATACATTTGTGTAATCATTTCATTCCACGCAATCATTGTGCAATCATTAATCAATCAATCCATCAGTCTGTCCTCTGTTATCAGTCAGGCTCTTGTTTACAATGCACTGGACATGTTTCTTTTGCAAAACAATTAGTTTGGCATTTTGGTCACCGAGCCTTCATGGGAGGGTGGCCTGGGGATGCTGCTGGCAGCTCCTCAGAGCAGGTCACATCCACACAGCACCGGAGCAAGCACAGGGGGCCTCTGCAAGCACTGCAGACAGACAGGAGCCACAGAACTCTCCTGCACATCCCGACTGCTGCCATTAATAGCCATTTGCAAGTGCTAATGGTGCACGATATCATAGCATCAAGGACACACTGCAGCAGGGAGGTGACACGGTAATAGGTGGTTATCATTAGCCTGATGAAAACATCCCAATTAGCGACAGGCACTGAAATTAGGGGGTATTTTGCAGTTGTCATTACAATTATGGGAAGTTCTGGGCTGAGGTGACTCCACACACACCTCAGAGCCCACCTTAAAGGGTCAATTTATGGGCAGCTTGACCAGAGGAGTCTCACCCTGAGAGCTGTGTCCAGCCCCTCTGGCTACAGGGTGAGAATGGGTGTCCCCAGCCCCGTGCCCATGAGAAATCAAAGCCCATCAACTGCAGTGCTGCGGACTGCTCACAATAGCAAACAGGAGGTAACCGCCTGCTCTGTGCAAACAATGATCATGAACTACCTACAGACCCCAGCGGGATCCAACCCCTGCCACAGCAGGCTCTAAACTGGTTCTACATTTAACAAACCAGGCAAAAATAACTGCATAAATTCTTCAAGCAGAAAAGACCTAACAATAGCCTTCTGAAACATAAAATCTTAGAATCCCGGCCTGGTTTGTGTTGAAACGGACCTTAAAGCTCCTCCAGCTCCAACCCCTGCCACAGGCAGGGACCCCTTCCACTGGAGCAGCTTGCTCCAAGCCCCTGTGTCCAACCTGGCCTCAGCACCTGAAAACATGGGCATTGCTATAGAATTTCTCTAAAAGCACATCTCTGAACATCAGCCACCAGGCACTGGTACCATCGTTCCCTGATGTCAGCTCATCCCACATGATGGCCAGAAGCTCACGGATCTCTACGTGTTTCATTCCTTTTTCTTTAGACTGTCACTTGCAGTATCGTACCAGCTATTGCACTTGAGGTTTATGTCATTTGCTGCTTGTTTCTCTGCAGGGAGAGTGGGAACCTAGCACAATACATGAGTAAACGATGAAAACTTCTTGTGCTCTGTAATCACCATAAACAGTTTTCTGACCCAGCACAGCATCACCCACATACAGAGCAATGCCCCTGTCAGGTGCTCTGGAGAAGAGCACCAGTGTGGGTGTTGATGGCGATGGCCTTCCTCCAGCCAAGACCCACAGAGCTCAGGGTGGGGGGAAGCTGCCCTCTGACATTAGGACTGGTGTTGGTGCTGCCCCAGCCAGGCCCAGCCGCTGAGGTCCTTTGCCACAGGAACCCTTCCTAAAATGTCCCTGGTGACAGCAGCACGCCTCGCCCCCCGAAACAGCAGTGCCCCAACATGAGTCTTCTCTGTCTTGCGCTTCTCCACTCGCGCATCTGTTCCTGGGCAAGGAACAAACATCCGCCTGGCAGCAAGTCAACAGTGGGGTTTAAACTGAATCCGTTTTCAATCAGATCCACAATGTGAAGCAAGGCAAGAGAGCAGAAAGAGCCTACTTTGTCCTCACCCTGCATAATGCAGGGCCTCGGAGCACAAAGGACATCGCAGTGGTTAAATACAGCCATTAGAAAAGACTGTCTGTAATGGTGCCAGATCTGCGCAGCAGAAGGCAGGCATCAGCTGGTCCTGTATTGCTCAAGACGTGACACATAAAAGATTTAATAGAGTCCCAGATACCCTGAACATTCAGCTGCTGCCAAATGGTTTGTATACAGCTGCCTTTGCTTTTATTGCATTAAAGGCATAAAGGGTTTGGAGCCTGCGTCTGTGATGCAGGACATGAGATGAGCATTTACCATCTCCAAGTTTGATTTCACTTGGTGGGGCCCCAGGGGATGGCAATGCCTCCATTGTCACCTCACTGGCAGCTTCTCACCTGAGCAGGGGACAGCCTGGGTCTTCACTCAACAGGAGCGATCTCAAGGAGATAGCCCCAGCTCTCTCATTCATTTAGAGGTGCTGTTAAAATAGTAACAGGCGGGGAAAGCTGACTCCTGGCTCTGAAATCCCTTTCTGTAAGGCCAGAGTTAGCATTAAGAAACACAGAACAGGAACAGGAGCGTTCAAAGCTGCCTCAACGCTTCCTGCAGGGCTGGGGTTTGGGTGGCTTCTGGTGCCCAGGGCACTCAGTCATTACGTGCGTTTTGGAAGCAGTTTTTGTTCTTGCTGACTGACGATGCTTCCCCAGTCACCTACATTTCTGCTGCTCTGTACAGTTTTGGGTCCAACTTGCTCTCTCTTAGGCTGCCTTTGCCTTTTCTCCTTTAGAAACGAAAGAACATTTTTCCTGCTGATTCTGAAGGAATCCAGCGGGCTGAAATCCCACTCAGATGAAAGGTCATCTAATCATTTAATAGCATGTCCTCACTTATCTCAAACTAATTATACAGGGGCAGCACCATTTGCCTGGGCTCGAACAAAAGCGAGCGGTTTGCACTCCGGGCAGCATCTGCAGAGCTGATAAATACTTGAGCTTGTTTGATCTGGGCTGCACCAAGATTATTTTTCCCTGCTGCAAATGCAGATGTCACCTTAAACTGAGGCACCGCGGCCCTGTCCCCTGCAGGACATCGCCGTCACTCCTGATGCAAACACCACAGCTGGGTTCGAGAGACCTTCCTTCTGCTCTGCACCACGAGCAGGAGTCTCTCAATGGCTTCTGCCTTTCCCAGACAAGACAAATGCTCTGTAATCCCCACAGGCACAGACACTTCCCTGGCTCCGGCTGGACCCATCATCAGGTTTCACCATACAAAGCTGGATTCACTTCTTTGTTTTTAGAGTTGAGTCAAGGCTTAGCATCAGCAAGCACTACACAGCCTCATCAAACACCTTAATCCTACACGACAGTGAGCCACAGCTGAGCACCGCTCTAGCTTGTAAGAATACTCATTTGGGGTGGTTGCACCTTGCCCATGTGTGATTCCTCCTCCATCGACTTCCCATGGGTATTTATATCAGGCCTCCCAATTCCCCCAACCTCACCCAC